AAGGACTTTCCAAAACTGTTTTAAGGGAGTTTCTGCATTACTGAAAGACAATAGTATGGGGACTGCCAGAGTGCAGAGATCACAAAAACTGAGAGAACAACATGAAGCTGGGAGCATTTCTCTATGCTCAGGCAGCTGTGTGCATCTTATTACATTTCTAGCATGACACTGGAGTCCTGAGTTCCCCTTTTCTGGCTGCCAAACCAGCCTACGTATTTGTGGGGAGGCATGCAGCACACAGGCCTGGTGACAGAGCAACACTAATTTGCTACTGTAGTGGGATTACGGAGACGAAAACCCAACATGCTCTTTTGGCTTCCTACATGCAGCAAGTAAGCAGAAGCTGTAATCAGCAATATTGAAAAGGGTGTTGACATTCCAAGGGTCTATTCATTCACATATATATATATATATATATATATATATATATATACACACACATACACACATAAAATATAACTGATACCTTGATAAAATCACTGTATGATTATGTTGCTTTTCATAAAGTTCCTTAAGAATAGCAATCTATTCCCTGCCTCAATCTTTGGCACAGTTATCGGTCATGTTAATAAGCACAGTCAATTTCCACACTAAGTCAAAGACCTCTGTTACACCAAAACAAGCAAAGCTGACATCAGATGAATACATACGAGGCCTCATTACAAAAAAGTTAAATGAAGTAAAAAACAATTAGACATTTCTGTCTGGGCGGATGAGTGGAGCAGAAAGAGAGTGGGATTTGCCAGTGATATAATTAGAGTGGGAGAGTAGGTAAGAACCGGGTGGGTCATCGATGAGGATTTCTTCAGGCCTTAGCTCACGTGGATGAGGCTCAGGCCCCAAGGCCTCAACAGACAACAAAAGACAAACAGGATGTTGAAGAGATTTGTGACTGCTACATAAGCGGACCAGAAACACAGGATTGGGAGAGAAAGACATTTCTTTGACCCAAGCAATCCTCCTGTCAAGTCCTGTCATGGTTCAACATACAAATTCAGCTTAAATACAGCATCCCTCCCCAATAATTAGCACAGACAAGCTCCTGTCCAGAGCTGCTTACTGTAAGTCTGGCTGGAGGGCATCAATCCTATTCAACCCAGAGAGACTTTACCATAAGGAAGGCTCAAAGGGGAATAGACCAGGCTAGGGTGAAGGTCAAACAAGAGGTGATAGAGGACACAAGTTGCAAAACAAACAGACCATAGAAGGGACTACAAACAGCCAGAAAGACCACGCTTGGACTGAAAATAGCACTGTGTAAAAAAAACCTGATGTAGGTTTGTGTGGGTGTGTTACTACAGGTACCAAGGAGAGGGTGAAATTTGATCCAGGAAGTCCCGTTTAAATAACACATCCACGAGGTTGAAGGCTTATCAGACGCCAAAACACTCATCAGCTGTGTATAATATGAGGAGGGATTTCACAACTTTGAGGATTATCACAGTGGCAAAATTATTTTATTCTCCATCTTGATGACTATGAAGTAAACAGTAGAATTAAACTATTTCTGCATTTCTGTATACATGTATACAATTCTGCTGGATGATAAGTTGATCCAAGTTTTAACTCTTTTTCCAGAGCCCTATAAGGACCCCTGTTGTGCCAATTCAGCAGCCCTAATGACATGAATTAGCAGATGGTGTTTTGTGAGTGCTATTGTCAGTCTGAATGCAACCCTCATGGCCTCTAACGAAATGCTTCTTGGATCTTCAGTATCTGAAACTCCTCTCTCCACACCTTTCTCTGTTGTCTGAATTTTTGCCACTTTTCTTGTGTTCAAATGAGTGCAACAACTTACATTTCTTCAAGGGCAGACCACCTAAAAGTGAGCCATGTTATTTCCATTTGAATGATCGCATCTTGCCTCTTGTTGGTAAGCTTTTTGGTACAATCACGTTTGCCTTTAAATGTGGTTGCAAGACTCTTGGTACAAACTAGTTTGTTTCAAGCATACTCTGGCCTACAGTGCAAGATCCACTTCCTGTGGATGCTTATTTCTTTGGGGTTGCTCTCACAGGTGAGAAATACCAGAAGCGCCCTCGAACCTGAAGAGTTGCTAACACGGCAGTGGTCCCGCTGATCCTTGCCAGTGAATGTCTACAAGAGGTGGACAAGCCTTTTGTAATTACATTTCCATCAACAATTTTTAATATACATAAAATAAATGCTGGATTTTTAGGATCTAATACAAAAATAATGCCCACTGCTCTTCGCCATCAGTGATGCAGGGACAAAATAGGTCAGAGACAAATGATAAACTCAAGACTGCAGTTGAGAACAGAACCCGAAAGTCCTGTTTGAGGACTTTGCCTTTCACTCTGTTCTTGTTCTTGCATCTGAAAGACTGTGACTCCAGGCTGAGAATGCAACCAGGCAGAAGGTGATTACAGGTCTCAGGTTCCTGGAGACAGGTTTGTGTCAGAGTGCTGCAGCTCAACTGGACAGAAACTATCTACAGAAAAACAAACACCATGTCAAGTTCCCTTAAGGCTGACTCAAAGAACCCTACTTGTTTAGGCAGGGACTGAGTTCACACAGTTTGTTTCTAATGCCATTTTTCATGTGTTGTGCATGAGAGATAAGGGTGTCTGAAATGCACTGTGTCCCTCTGATTACAATAGCGAAGCTTTAAGATTAATTACAAGCACCGACAGACTTACCACACCTTAAAAAGTAGCCACTTACTAGTGCAAGTGAGAGCCACATGCCCCTGTTCCTAAATCTGCATGGAATAAAGACAGCATAGCTGGAACTTTTAATGGAAAAAACACTAAATCACAGGAAAAGATTTAATATTTACATTTTTTAAATAACTGCCCTGATGCAGTAACCGCACCCACTTGGTATTCACTAGTAAGTTAAAATACTATTACTATTTGATCAGGATTTGGTATGCAGATTTTGATATTATCTCTTGGAACATTTTTAGCCTATGAAGTGAGTTATTCTTCAGCCTAAAGGGGGGGGAATATTCAACTTGATGTTTTCAACTTGCTTTGCTCAGCCATCACAAATAAAAGACACTGTCACTTTGAGGCTCCGTCAAACATTACACAATTATTAATAGTTTTTTAACCACAATCACCATAATGATAGGGTGTGTAAAAAAATGTTCTGAGTGAAGACCTTTGATCCCAAGGTAAATGCCACGTCAATGCGGAGACTGGCTTTAAGGGTTAGCAAACAGAGGGTGACTGAGTTGTATCTCAGTGTATTTAGAACTGGACTGCAGAATAGAGCATCTGTGCTCAGATCACCTTCAAAGTTTCACTTTTAGGAAACATGTCAGCAAAACGCTGGACCTCCAGATGTAACTTTCCAATCATAACTGAAGATTTAAGTCTCTTCCAACCAACATAAACAAACATTCAACCAGCACATATCAGACAGGAGTCACTGCGGTATAGTCAGTCCTAATGTCACCTTACAATTAACGCAACAAAATAAAAATAAAACACGATCAAACAAAAGTAACCAAAGTAAATGACTAGAAAAGGCACTGTCAAAGACTTTATGACCCCACTGTAGGCATTTTAATCTAAAACAAATAAGCAATGGGCAGTTATGAGAGCAAAAAACCCCTGCAAATTACAAACAGGACCCTGCTACTTGTGGGAAAAGAAAGGCTGCATTCCTATTGATTAGGGCAACGGGACAGGTACAGCAGGATTTGGGTCAAATTTCACTTTCACAAAGAAAGGCTACATCATTAGTTGAGCTGCAGAATGTCTTCCTCACAGTATTCAGAGACAAATTGAATAATCAAAATGTATGGACGTGTTCCTGCCTAGATTAAGTCATTGCATGCAACAGTGTAGATGTAATTGGTTTGGTAAGCTCTGAACTCCAATCACTGGGCATCACATGGTAAGCAACCACGGTTTCATGTTTGAGACACATTAATCGATCAATAATTATGTCACTTGGCTATGAATGCTCACACAGGATGAAAGGAGTCGCTCAGATGGAGAGAGTGAGAGGGAAAGGGATGCTTCAGAGTTATTTAAGCAGTTACTTAACAGCACCTGCAGCTACACATTTACACCTGCTCCATCTATTCATCGAACACTTCACAGTAAAGTTCTGCAAAAGTAGTGAAGTATATAAAATCTATGATTTCCAGGCAATATTTCAAACCTGTCCTGGAGGCAAGGGGTCTAAGACACTGACCATATCGTAAAAAAATAAAATCATAAAATTGCAGGTTCAAGTCCAGCAGGGGACTTTTGTTGCATGTCATCCCCCTATCTCTGACTCCCCTCATTTCCTGTCACATTTCTTCTGTTTACTATGTAACAAAGGACAACAAACTCCATCTCTAATACGAAGCTCCTTGATAAATTTTGGAAACAATATTTAGATTCAATAGGCCAAAAAGTGTCTCTAACAGTTGGAGCACCATGTCTCCAGTCCTTCAGTCCTGATGGAAACAGCATCTGCATGTATTGTAATGTAATGTATCACGCAGCATTGACAGCATTTGACCTTACTGTCATTATCACCGGTGCTCCAAACACGCTGACTTGGCGCCTTCATAACAACAAATGCAAGTAATGAGCAACCCACAGCTTCTTTATAACTGCTATTATAGTAATAAGGCGTGCCAGCAAGCTGATAAATAGCCTTTGTGTTGGGTGCATGGCTTTATAATGAATCGAGAATTTGTCTATTGATAGGCGAGCGCCACTTTAGCTGCGCAGGCGTGCGAACTGAGATCAGATTAGCCTGCCTCCACGCAATAACAATGCTCCCATAATCCTGCAAGAATTTATGAATTCGCAACCAGTTGCCTGTAAACAAACCGTGTGCAGGGTTTTAGGGTTGCAAACACATGCAAACTGGATAAACACATAAAACAGAACATGCGCCGTTTCTGGGCTCCAACCACCTCTGTGCATTAAACCAAATTCCCTTACAGATAAAGTCTCCCAGCTGCTGCAGGAGGGGTGCACTTCTTGTATATATCTATATATAAAAAAAGGCCAAATGAAGACATCTACCTTTCAGTAGACAGCCCAATCCGAAGCCGCCATATCCTCGGGAAAATGTCGCTGGGTTGAGAAGCGGTCGGTGCAGGATCGAGTGAGGAGCGAGGACGGAGAAAAAACAAAACGGTCCCCGACCCTAACCGCGTCCTCGTTTGTTTCCCAACCGCGCTGCCGCTGTCAAGAATCCCCCACCATGTCCATACAAAGCAGAGCTATGGAGCTCACACCCGCAGGAAGTGACCTCATGACTGACAGCTGGCGGAGAGAAGGCGCACACCCCCTGACACACCTATAGTTTGGACGAATAGAAAGAGCGCAGCGGTTTCTCTGTGGACGGACGCCCCCTAACTATGGTGACAGCAAGTTATCCCTTTAAAAAGTGCTTTACTCGCTTTCCTGCAGTGCAAAGCTAAAGCTGACTGCATAAAAAACAGGGGGTTATTGTTGGATTGCTAATCGATTACAGTGTGATAATCTGATACAATGAAGCTTGGTGAATGGATAGGCTACAGGCTGGCAAAACGTGCACACCCACATCACTGTCCTCACATAACATTCCCGGGGTCAACCAAGTGTTCCCTTTCTCTCTTGCTCTCAATTCAGTGCAATCCCAGTTCAGTAAAACTCTAGAGTAGAGTTCTGATCATATAACTAAATGATACATTATTAATAATAAAAAAAAGTAGTGATGTACACTAAACAATACCTGAAAGGACATTTTGTAAACACTTAAAAAAAGGAAGATTTATGGAAAATTGCAGTATAATAACACAATAAAAAATTAGCCCTAACTTTATTGTCTCGCTTAATGAGAAACACTTACATGAGAATCAGAATACATTTAAGTAATAGTTACACAAAGATAAACAAAGATAAACAACACATAACTTCAATGAATGGGCAACAACAAAAATACTCATTTACAAGTAAAAGTCTGGCATTCAGAATTTGGCTTTCGTGAAAATACATAAATATTATCAGCACAATGTACATTAAGTATCAGAAGTAAATGCACTCCCCTGTCAATGTTACATTATTATATAATCATGACAGTGACTATGACATGTAAGTGGTACACTAATGTTGCAGCTAGCTGAGGTGGAGTTCATTGTTAAGGTGTGTGTTACATTTGGGAGGATTTTATTGTGAAACACAGCTAATATTCATAGGTATGTTTTCAGAAGAAGAATATTAACTTTATTCATCCATCTCCATCTCTTTTTTTCACTCAATTAATAAACACAAAATACAATAATACACACCCACAGGGCTTATAGACATGCAAATGTGAAGAGATGGTGGAGTGATGGGCTGCCATGTAGTGGCGTCCTGGGGGCAGTTAGGGGTTTGGTGACTTGCTCAAGGGCACCTTGGCATTGCCCAGGAGGAGGAAGTAGCATCTCTGCAACTACCAGTCCACACTACACACACACACACACACACACACACACACACACACACACACTTCATTACTGTATAATCACCTGAATACAGGAATTATTGTGTTTTCATTACCTTAGAATGAGTTCGTTTTTGTTGACGTCTGCTACTTCACTCTCAGATTATGCTTGTGAGCACAGGGAAACTTTCCCCTTCATCAGAGGAATGTGAAAAACAGCCCTTTAGTGTCAAACTCTGCAGATATATCACTATGTACCGTGAAGCACAAACACCTAAGTGATGTAACAGGTAAAAAATGTTTCAGTTTGACTGTGGCCCTTTGATGTGTGTCACGCCCCCCCCCAATCACACTCCAGCTGTCCGATCCAATAAAAGCAAAAAAGCCCCAAAAAATATTTAAAGAAAAAAAGACTTCCAAAAGTCTTTCATGGAGGTTGCCATGTTAAACCGTCATGTGTCTACAGTAGCCCAGAATGGACAAAATAAACACTGGCTATAGATAGGGCCTTTACCATTTTTTGCGAGTTTTTCTACCACTGTAGTTTTTCCTACACACTTCACAGCCTGTTGTCATTCCCAGATCGCCAACCAGCCTACAGATGCGAGCAATGTTCAGTTAGTTGTGATCTGCAGCTTCACTGCTAGATGACACTAAATCCTACACACTCGTGCTTTAGTTATTCACATATTTGTGGGTTTAATCAATAACAAAGCATCCTATCTTATAAACTCCACCACTTTCCACCACTGACAGTCTCTATACACAAGTGACATTGTTACTGTAAACAGGGCTGTCCATAACAGTGCAAAGAGCGGTGTAAAGAGTGATACGGTACTCTTTGGAGATTATTGATAGGAAAAATTTATATATCCAGTCTGCTTCGACTAACTTTTGTCAATAAAAAGATATTTCTTTCACATGAACAGTTTAACCCAGGAGGGTTTGAATGAGCACTTCTCTTTGAAAAGAAGAAAAGACTGGAAATTTGAGGACAATTTTGTTCATATTTTGCCCAGGTATTTGACTATGTTGAGCAGCAATCATGATTCCCTCCATACATGTTTGAGACATATAAAAATTCTTTGCTTTGAAAAGTAACTTGAGTCTGATGTGGTTTCTCCACAAAATTATGTACAATTGTTGCAAAACTAGAATTGCTGGATGCAAGATGTCTCCTACTTCACTCTCAGATTATGCTTGTGAGCGCAGGGAAACCTTCCCCTTCATCAGAGGAATGTGAAAACAGCCTTCTAGTGTCAAACTCTGCACATATATCATTATGTACCGTGAAGCACAAACACCCGAGTAATGTAACAAGAAAAACATGTTTCAATCAGTTTGTAGGGGGACTTGTTTGCTTATATACATGCCTTGCCATGAGAAAACTAAAGAACTGAAGGAGCCTGAAAAGACTTTGTTGATCAAACAATTCAAAAAAGACTATATCTGAAGCACCCTGATAGCTCACCTGGTAGAGTTTGTGCCCATGTACAATAAGGCAGAGTCCTTGCTGCAGCAACCTGGGTTTGATTCCAACCTGTGAGTCTTCGCTGCATTTCACCCCGTTTCTCTCTCTCTCAACTTTCCTTTCTTTCTTCAGCTGCTCCTGTCTAATAAAGGTTATACAAGCCCACCCCAAAAAAATCTTATAAAAAAGAACACATCCTTAAATTTCCAGATACCCTGGAAGCATGGTATAGTTTATGGGATGTTGACCAGTGCATGGTTCAGCTAATTGTGCACAAGAAAGCATATGCACTTTTTCAGGAGAATCACATGGCAGCTGGCCAAGTTGTGAGGGTTTCCAGTCAATCTGTTGCAATAAACTGTTGCCCATTAATGAAGCAGTTCTGTTTTCTCAGCTGAAGCCAGATGCTGAGTGTGCAACCCTGTTTGCCGATTGCATCTCTCTGCTTTCATGTTTCCTCATCCCGTTCTCTATCCTGGCTCTCCATCACATTCTGTCCACGTATTTGGTGAAGCAATGTGGGCGTCAATGGATCTGTTGTCAAAGGAGCTGATTTCAACCACAGCACTTTCAGGACTTTGAGTCCATGTTGGCGCAAAGTTAAGCCTAACTTCTGTTCAATCAAATATTTCCAACTCAAAGTAACAGAGCAAACTTCATCTGCTCCAGAAAAAGGTTAGGAAGTGTAATCTGAGTTATGATTGGTTTGTGTTGTGTAGTTAAATGTATAATAACGGATCGATACATTCACATAGACTATCATGTCAGGTACAAATTTGTGTAAAAATATATAGAATACCAAAAATAAAAAACAAAGAAACAAACAGAAACAAAAACAAAAATCCATCAAACCATAAAATAACTGACATCAACAACTGAAGCAGACAGCTCACTGAAAAGAAAAGAAAAACTAAACAAATATGATGCTTCATAGTGTATTGAGGTATAGCTAGGACAGATCACCTGTAGAGACTTGATTTTACAGTTCCAGTAACCTACTCACATAGTTAAATAAAGGGCCCACATTTTATAAAATCTCTTCATACAGCCCTTGAGGGTACATCTGGTTTTTCCATCTTAATGTTCTGCATCAGATCATTAATCCATTGGTTGTGTGATGGAGGGATTACATATATTTCCATTTAAATAGAATTGAATGGGTCATATTTTATAGGTTGGTTGTAAATAAATGTCTTGGTATATGAGAATAAAGTAGCATAAATCGGGAAAGACAGTAAAGCAGGTAAAACTAGTAAAAGTACCATAAACTGTAAGTACTGTATTTGAGTAAAGTGATATTCAGCCACTGCAGTAGAACTAGTTGTATCTGCTACCAGTAGGGATGCATATGGATTTTTTTTCAGCATGTAATTCTATTATCCCGATAATTTAAAATAATATAAACTCCCATTATCGGCCAATAATTGCCACGATAATTATCATGCATCCCTAGCTACCAGAGGATTGGGGAGATACACACCCCAGCTCCACATTCAATGTAAAATCAATCAATGCAAAATCTTGTCAAAATCCATCCAACCCATGTACCAAGGCTGAGTCCTTGCTGCGTGTCAACCCCTCTCTCTCTGCCCCCCTTTCCTGTCTGTCTTTAGCTGTCACTATCAAATAAAGGCAATAAAAGCCCCAAAAAATACTAAATAAAATAGATGATAGATAGAATAGATCTCAAAAATACACCCACACAGATGTCGGCTGCAGTGCCCTGAGCTTCTCCATGGCCACTGTCGATTTCTCCACGTGAGCAGGACATGGAGAAACATTAGACTCAGAAGCTACAGCTCGTTGCAACACGACTCAAGAGAGCAGACAGAAGCAGAGTCCACAGTAATGGGCTACGGTCAAAACAATCTGTCTGGACAACAGCTGGTTTCCCAATTAAAGAGAGACTCAGACTGCTTTCCACATCTAGATAATATAATGCCAACTGCCACATTTGCTTACAACATGGCTGTCCCTGGACTGAACCGAGCTGTAATAAAACAGACTGTGAAGAAACAAACATTTGATGAAGTAATGTATGGTTATGAAATGGCACCCATCCTTAGAACTACAGTTTAAGGGAAGACTGACTGCTCCTCCGTCCAGCTTAACTTGCCTGTTTTTGAAACTGTAGCCGTTTTTGTTGAAATGAAATGAAATGAACAAGAATGTAAATGTGATTGTCAGTTTGTGAAACACTTTTGTGTTTTATTCTCTGGTAAAAGTATGAATGCACATTAATTGTGTATTACATTTAATACAATTTAGCCAAAATGTGGCTTTTAATAGAATAAGTTTGAGGTATTTGGGGAACTAGATGTTTGACAAGGGTTGATATGATGACCCAGAGCCGGTCCTGACTCCCTTCCAAAATTCTGCTAATAGGCCCCTCTACGTAACCCATGTGCCATGTAATGATAAACCTGAATGAGAACGGGCTGTGAAGTGTGTAGAATAAACTATGATGGCCATGAGACATAAAAAAAACAACAAAAAGCCAGTGTTTGGTTTGTCCGTTCTGGGCTACTGTAGAAACACAGTGGTTGAACACGGGGGACTCCATAGAAGGCAACACGCAGCATCTGTAGATAAAAACGGCTCATTCTAAGGTAACGAAAACACGATTCCTATATTCATGTGATTATAAACTAATAAAAACATACCTAGGAATATTATATTCCATTTCTGACAATATATTCTAATAAATGTTACACACTGGACCTTTAAGATATGTTATTATTAACATTAACAAAAATAAGAAATTGTAATATAAAATGTAGAAAATAATAAAATATAATCTCTGCTGCCTAGTAATTACTGCAGTCCTCACAATATTTTACAATTAGCTTTGGTTATATAATGTAAACATAAGCCTATAGATTATTGCTGCAGCTTTAAGTATCAATATAGCCCAGATTTCCTTCCATTCATTTTCAAATATAAAATACTTATACCATGGCGTGGTTGTATACTTGATGGTTATTGGTTCTGTAGCAGTGCATCCATAAATCAGCTATTTCAATCCAATATTAAATCAATAGTCAATGTCAATCCATTGCTTTCCATCTTGCTTTACTGAGCTGCAACTAAACCCTGGCTGAGAGACTACATAATCATTGCCTTATTTTATGACGTGGGCCTATGAGGATTGTCTGGACCGGTCTACACCATTGCCTGTAAACGCACGTTAATGCGCACTAAGGTTATTTCCTTCCGAGCTGCAGGGTATAAACACTGTGGCCTGTTGGCGTTCATCAAACCTGATACATGGTTGTATTTCACTCTCACTTCTGTCACGCCCAAAGTCACAGAACAGCCCTGGAGGACACAGACAGACCAAGAGAAGCACTGGCACTGGCAGCGGTTAGTAATACAGGCAGGGTAGAGAGAGAGAACCTGGGCAGAACTCTAGTTTACCTGACTGCTGTTCCCTCAATTCACTCTCATGATGGTTTCATGCTTTTTGTGACCACATACTTCCGCTTCTCATGGAAGTTGTAAACAGTGACACCTGAATGACCCTATGACGCACACTGTCACTGGCACACATACACACCGACTCAGCTGCCAGGACAGCGAGTTTACTATAATAAACAACTGAATTAATAACCACTATGTTTATTATGATGTTTCATACAGAGATACTGCATATCTCTCTCTCTGTCTATAGGGTGCCCTCTGCTGGCCGTGGGGCCCTATGCCACCCCAAAGGCCGATTATTGGCTCGGACAGCCCTGTGATGACCCACTGAAATACAGTAAGTGGGTCAATATTGAGGGGTAACAGCAGCCAGAGCTCTGCTGCCATCTGCTGCTCAGAGACTGCACATGGCGTTGACTGTGTAGGTTACTTCACCTGCACAGTCTTGATCCAGTTTTTAAGCAAACCAACTACAGCTTTAGATTTTCATTCAAGAAACAGGCTAATGACACTGTAAACTTTGGACAATTTAGTTAAATACCTACAACAGAGTAGATGTTTGATCAGTTAATTAATGCTGTATTTTTTCCCATATCAAGTGAATTGTATTTATACAGACCAAAATCACAAATTTGGCTTGACAACACCTTCGATCTGTAAATTTGATTTTTTGAATGGTTGAATAGCTTTGTTGCTATCCCTCTTCCAGGATGATGGGCAGACCTAAAATCAATGTAATATAGGTGGAACTGCAGTGACTAGTTGATTAATCAATTTGCTGGTCAACAGAAAATTAATTTGCAACTATTTTGATTGTATATAAATTGTTTAAATGGACACATTTTTAAACAGAAATGCCAAAAATTGGTCCTAGTTTCTAAAATGAAAGAATTTGCTTGTTTTCCTGGTCTTAAATTATTGCAGTAATTGTAAAAGTATTGTATTGAACGCACAGGACATTTGATGACATCACTTTGGTTTTTATGTTAACTGTCATGGGCATATTTCACTGTTCTTGGTTGTTTCATGGAACAAATGATTAATTGAGAAAATAAGATTAACAAATTATAAAAAATAGAAGTTTTCAGCCCTAAGAGTAGGCAAAAATAACAATAATAAGATTACAATGTGGTGAAAGAGAATGACAATACTAGTTAAGTAAAGTGCAAACATACTGTCTATGGAGAAAATCAAATGAGCTTCCACTAGGTGGCGCTTGTGCCACATCTATAACTGAGTGAGGCCCTGGTAACTGCTTTTCTTAATATTGGTGATTAATTATATTAAAATTGTTTGTTTCTATGTGCAGAAAATCTAAATATGAAGATAGACAAAGCGTATTGGCCCAAGAAACAAATAATTTCATTTCCTTGCCCTACATTTTAGACTGAATATTACATTTCATAGTCACCATGGCACAGATAATGTGGCTGAATCTATTTAGGTACTAGAGTTAGCTTTTCTTCACTTCAGCAAATGGACTCTGCTCAGTGGTTTATATGAGGGGGCTGCCCACACAGAGCCCTCAACCCTATCCACTTACATTCAATCAATAACACTTTTCCATTAATACAGCTATGACATCATATGAAGGCTTAGAAAAGCAGCGCTGTGAGTGTTATTCTTGTCAAATTCCTGGCAACTTTGTATAAAACAACAGTATATTATTGAATTCTGACTGATATGTTTCAGACTGACTCTCAAAAGCTTTTCATTAGTTCCTTATTGCATGGGAAAAGAAAATCCGAGGCTGGATGTCAAAGCTTTTTGCAGTATTTTTGGTGAAGCAGGAGGAGATGAAGGATGGAGGATGGCCTTTAGAGATGCAACCCCAGAGACATGATGCACACAGAGCCATTGTCTCATCAGGCTTAGTATTCAGCTCATCACCAGGGCCAAGGCTCAAATCAATTCAATATGGTGGCTGGAGGGGGACAGCTACGCAGTGGGTGCAGCCCACATACAAATACATTCAACACTGGTCTAGACACATGGGATACATCACAGTGGTAGATTTCTTCCCACGCTGCAATGTTTCTGCTTTGTTATGTGCTACTCCAGTGATGTACTGTCAAATAATCCTTCTTATTGTCTCTGAGACATTTGGTGAAGGTGTAACTAGCTCAGCACATTTTGTGTGAAACCATGACATGCGAAGTTAAGTACAATATATGTGCAAACCGAGGTGGTGCAAGTATGTACAGTAGAATTATAAAAAAAATACATACTAACAGTAAAATGCGTATTTATAAGAAGTTACTAACACAAAGTTTATCATTGGCTATGTGAGGGCTGTTAATGAAAACCCCAAGTCTGACCTTGTTATGAGATACAGGGTGGCCGTCTCAGACAGTGACGGATGTCTGATGCCCCAAGTTGGCCTGATACCTCCTGGCACTCACCTCGTCATCTATCTGTGTGTGTGTGTGTGTGTGTGTGTGTGTGTGTGTCTGTGTGTCCATGTGTGCTGTTGGCCGAAGAAACACAGAGTACTGTAACCATCATCTGCTGCCATATGAATCATACTGTAGCCCAGGAGGTGAGCTTGTGCCATGGTTCTTCTTTCCATCTGCTCTGCTCTGGGGTTTTAGGACATGTCTGGGCTGCTGGCTAATCACAGGAAAGGATGAAGGTAGCCATGTCAGGGTTTTTCTGAGATATTTCTTCAGCAGACAGTGATGAAGATGTTTGGTTATGTTCGATGCAGAGTAGTGGTCTGGATAAACTGCTGTTTTTGTAGCTGATGTTACGTTCTATATAAATAGAGCAAGCATTACTGCAGTATACTGTATGTAAACCATTTGGCACCAACGCAGCTGTTCAACTGCAAATAGCCTCAAAGTGTGAAACATTTAAATTGACACTTAGTGAGTATAAATCAAAGAAAATGAACAAATTCCAAAGACAAACTGATTCATCATCTTATTTTTTTATTAATGTTTGAAGCAGAAAAAAACCAAATCCAAGACAAATCCCATACTGAACAGACTTTACCTGCTGGTCCTCTCTGCTGCCACGATTAACTGTGGACGCCCACGTTCCAGGTAAGAAGCGGACGGGTGGCTCAGGGCCAGATAGTTGACCTGGTTTGGTTTGTTGATACTGGAAGTTTTTCTGTGAGCAGGATGGTCCCTGTTGTTTCTATGGTGATGTATTGCTGCCCTCCAGGGAAGGCAGTAGGTTGTATAGTTATCTCCTGATTGGGCAAAATCACTACCCTGAAACCACACAACCTACTACCTCACCCCGTTCGAACATCAGAAAGGTCCTACATGTTGGCAAGCTTTGGTGTAACATGTACTGGAGATCAATTTATATATATATATATATATATATATATATATATATATCAATAGTGATGTATAAACACTGTCCATTTTCTTATAGTAAATAAATGCATCCTCAAACATTTTCAGATTTTGAAGAAGAACACACTTCATATCATATAAGTCGATTTAATTTCAAAAACACTAACATTACAAGCAGTCAGAAGTAATCGGTTTGAGGAGAAGAGCCATGGAACCCCTAAACTATTGTTATGATCATATACAAAAAAAAAAAAAAACAGAAATAAGAGCTAAGGAAAGACAATTAGATGAGAGCAGGTTTGTGTAAAAGGTTACACAATATACAGTGTCTGATGAGATATGAAGACAATATATTGTATAATATTTAAGAATAAGTTTTATTGACCACAAAGTCTTAATGCAATCATGAAAATCATGAGATGGAAAACTACCCAAAGCAACTACAAAGACCTACCTCGATCAAATGCTGCAAATGAGTTATGTTATCTTAGCGGGTAAACATGCACATTCCAATGTTGATCCAGATCCAAAAGCTTCAACAATGACATCTGATGACATTACAGCCACTTCAGGAAAGACAGTAAGTTGTATAGTTATCTGACAGGAAGGGTATGACCCTAAAACTATACAACCTACTACCTCACCCCAAAGGACAGTCTTTGAAAACAAAGTCGTTTCAGGTCCCCATTCATGCAGGTAATCCGCTTTGACACACCTCAATGAATACAAAACAGCGTTTATGATTCACAGAAACACAAATACACATGCCACTCTCCTCTGGGACACCTCACCAGTGTGACTGGACTGTGTGTTCAGAACACAATGTGACGACTGGGTCATTGGTTAACGGCTCGAAATTCAAATGATCCCAGAAGGTGCATTACCCACTAGCAAATTGTATAGACAAGATATTTCCATATTCAAATGTGACCTGTAAATAACTTGAAGGGTACTGTGACATTAAAGGATAAGCTATTAAAATGCAACATTCTGTTCATTAAAGGTGGAGTGTGCGATTCTAGGTAATGTGATTCTAATCCGATACACTTATTTTTCAAATTCAGAAAATAAGTCCTCATGGTTTGCTAGCTTTTCACTGTGTGTGTGTGTGCTAAAAGTAAAAGCTGGTGACAGCCCTGGCTTTGTAAATGGGAAACAAACAACACAAACAGAGTGGACCGAGCCACACAACATTAACTTGTTATTCAAGCTATTCTGGGATTTTTGTGTCACGTAATGTTACATTACTTGCTCATGGACATTCGGCTTACGTTCTAGTTTTCCAAAACATGCTGTTATTGTGATGCTAGCTGTAGTAGCAGGAGACTTGTCTTTAAATAACCGTGTGGAGCTGGTGTGCCGGCTCTGGGAAACCGTTCTGTCCACATCTGCACAGCAGCAACTTGCAACAGCTTGCTAATGTTAGTTACATTACTTGCTGTGTCATTGTTCACACTATATATCATGGTATTGGATTTCTCCAGAATCGCATACCCCAGCTTTAAATATTGTTTCAATAAACCCAAAACATATATCAGTCTGGGTACAATCAGTGCTGAAAGATGGTTGGCAAATGAGGCTGTTGTCATGCTACAGCATTGGTTATCAAAAGACATGAAGCAATGATTAGAAATCAGATCTTTACTTTTGTATTGTGAACAATATGTGAAAAACCCTCTTTGGTAGAACTGCTTGCAATTCACACAAAATGTACAAGTTATTTGCAACCTGTGACATGGGATTGTGTGTAGAAATGGCTTTGTTTTAAAGAGCCACAAGCCAAGAAGACTGGGAACCACTGCCACTACCACATAGCATTTCTGTTCACATACAATAAATTGGAAAACATAAACATTACAAAAGAATCTTTACTAGTGCTGCAAAATTACGATATTGTGTTTTTTCTGCAGTAAATATTACAATATGAAAAAATACAGGAGATTTCATCGGATGCATTGCAGTGTGTTATTCATGTACAGAATGATAATCATAATTTTCATAATTGGAGCACTTTAAAAGTCTATACTCCTCAAACAAAACAAAAGCACCCTCTTACTTATACCACACTTGGTTCAGCCCTCTGCCACCCCTCCAGAAATCAGCTTCACTTTCGGTGAATGGTAGGTGACTCTGACACTGGTCTGGCATGGACAAGTGGAGAGAGAACAGGTAGGGTTAGGGTACGGACCGGCTCCTTGGCAGTAACTTTTTAACTTTTACCCCGCACTGGGACACTGTGCCGCTGATAATGGAAATACACGCTCTCAAAAGCCGCCTTGCATAACTACACCATGCCTCTAGCATCCAGGTGACATTATCTGTGACATCAATCTCCCTGTATCCAACAACCATTAAATTGGACTAAATGATGTAATATCAGATGGGCTTTTCTTGTAGATTAGTCATGGAAAATGAGACCTAGTGAGTTTTCCTTTTGTATCAAGCAGCACAAAAGTTGTAACATAAAGTGTTTGAGTTAATTTACCGAACTCGACATCGCCAGTCCTGCAGTGTGACTAGTGCACATGCGCACATCGCAATATCGATGCTGAAACAATATATCGTACAGCCCTAATCTGTACTGATTCCATTTTTTCCTTTTTTCTCACTACTGTTTGCGTGCTTAAGAGAGGAGAGTGTTAACATTAGTGACCAGTGTTGACAGTGGGCGAGCTCAAGCTAGCTCATATCCTGGCCCACATGTGCGAAGCAGAGGGCTGCAGCTGCTGCCGCTGTTAATGTTTCTCACCTGCTCTGTAACACGCAGTGAAGTGGGGGAAACACTGGCATATCGCCTCCTCCTTCCATTGTGGTTTCAGCAGCATGTCAGGTAGCCTTCTGCAACAAAGGAAACAGAGAACATCAATCGCAAACACCACAGTGGCTGACAGTCTTTACAAGAGGGTTTTTGATTCTCGGACGAAAACATGGATTCTGGGTTTGCTTGCAATTTGCGTATGTACGTATTTACAGTATGCTTGTAAGAAATTCCGTATAACTCATACTTGTGTGTTCTGAAAGAAAAGCACACCATCCTCATGTTTAACTGTCACACAATCTGCTGAAACAAAGTCATATCAGCGTAATCTTTGTCAGCACGTACCTCTACAGTAATATTGTTCTGTCTGTGAAGGCACAAATGTACAGCACAGCACAATACAGAATGGTGTTCTTGAGCTGCGAGGCCCCATTGTGTCTGCTCAGTGGTTAAGTCTGAGGCTCTTTGCATTATTCAACACTGCCGTACTTACAGTACACCATAGCAGTGGATGAGTGGATTGGAAGTATGCAAGCACACACCCCTGCAGGGTAACAAACACACACGAGGAGCACACACACAGAGATAAGCAGACAGAAGGAAAAATGCAGTATAGAACACACATACATGTACATAAATACTGCAATTACAAAGAAATGGACAAACAGCGCCACAAAGAAAGGATACCTACAGAGACTTAACTTACTCTTAAATAAAAAGTTCTTATGAATATATACAAACTAAGCAATGTTTAAGCTTTAGTATTCATTTAATTTAATTTAGCATTTAGTCTTGATTTTAAGGGGCCTAAACAGTAATGACATATAAACTGTCTGCATTAGAGCATTTCACCATTCATATCACAGTCTATTCTCATTGTGCAGCCCTGCAAAATGCTGAGCAGTGTGGGGTCCAGACTTCATAAGGTAAGGTCAAGGCACACTGTCCTCTCAGTCTGCTGACTGGACATACTTCAATCTAATATAGTAGATGGCTCTGGGGTCCTGACCAACAGAGTGCATGTCCAGGAAAGCTATTGCTTTCAAGTGAAGCCAGGTGCTATCATCCAGTGACAGGGAAATATTCACACTAACACCCACACACATATACTGCAGAGGAACGATATGCAATGCAAGGACGCACGCGTACGTGCACGCACATACACACGCACGCACGCACGCACACACACACACACGCACACACACACTTGTTTATGACTCTTCACACAGTTATACAATACAATCTAAAAACACCTCATTTACTAACAGCTTGCCCACCTGAAAATCTAGCCTTCTTAAAATTGTGCAAGCTCAGCAAGCGCTCCTTCACTTGAAAGCACAGCGTCTATAACTGATACACTGCTTCAGCTTTCAGCACCTCCATTAGCTAGTGGAGTGCAAAGTCCTACTTTCTACACCTCATCGTCTCATATTGTCACACAAACATATACCCTTTGGGACAACGCATAACCAGATACACAGACGCGTACAAGGACACAGTTTGGAATACATGCACATGTGCACATTCACATACAAACATGAAAAAAAATACTAGAGGGAGAAATAATGGAGGGAAAAGGCAAAACACGATATTCATTTACCTCATCACATTTTCACACAGCGTTCACAGCAAAAGGCACACACTGCTTAAAAAGCCACTTTAATTCAATCACACTTCAGTCTAAGTGCTACAGTGCCTATCAATCAATACTGAAGCCAAGTTTCACTGCAGTGATAGTAAGATGGAGTGGAGTGCTGTGACCTTGTAACCAGATCTTTGGGGTTCTGGTGGTCTGTGGTCACTCAGTGTGGCAGGTAATTCAGGAAAAGAAGATGGACATTTACACAATATGCATCCCTAATCCATATAATTTTCTGTAAATGTATACTCACACTCCACGCTATAATTAAAAACATTACAATTACAGGTCTGATGTGTAACAGCTAAGATGATCTACTGTCAGAAATAGGACATAAAATGCATAACTATGTTTTCATTAGTGTATAATCACCTGAAAATAAGAAACGTTACGTTTTGTTGTAAACTGGGGACTTTGATGTTCCAAACTCATTTTATACTATGACAGTTTTGCTCAAATTAGACAAAAATGGCAATATATCATCTTGCTTACAGTATCACAATATAGTGAATCATAACCCCTGTGTGATATGTATCATATCGCCCAATTCTTGTCGAACACAGCCCTATTGTCAAGTCACTTGTACTTCGTGTTTAAGGGTTTTGTAGAAACATACCTTTATATTCCTGAAGGTACTGTAAGCAATCGGTACCAAGGTTTGATATTGGCACCAATATGGAACAATTCAAATGTAGGATTCACTGTAGAAAAGTCTGCTACACTGTGGCTCACTGGTCATCTTTAGTTAGGCAACTTGGTGAGTTTCAGCACTTCAGACTCTCAGATTTACCCTTCTCTTCAGCCTAACCTTTGTTGATCCCTTGTGGCATCAAGATTATATTTAGTACTTATGGTTAGGTTGCAAGTATGTTTATGCACACTATATGTACTCATTAGTCCTTGTGTTTATGCTTGTGTGTATGTATTTTCCTCCTGTCTGTATACATCTACATGTGTGCCCTGCTACAAGTGAAGTGGTGTCTGGGCACAGACAGAAGGAATCTAGATAGACACGGTGGAGCATTTATAAAGGGAAGCATGGCTTCAGTGCCCCCCCGCAGCCCCTTTGGGTAGCACAGCAGGCATGACCCATCTATTTATACCAGGGCCAGGGGGGGGGAGGACAGGAGCAGGGGAACAGGAGAGGCTGCATGGGCAGGTCTTGTTACACATGCCAGGGGGGATGGCTGGGGCAAGCCACAGGGGGATTCTGCTCAAAGTCAGACAGGCTGACCTCCTCGTCACCTCTGCATGAGGCAGATATTGAGCTTGCAAACCTTGTGTGAGTGTGTGTGAGGAGAGTGAAAGAAGAGGGAGTTTATGGGTGTATATACGGTATAAGCCTATCGGTATGCATTAATGCATGTGTACTGTATGCACTTGTGTATGTGTGTGTGGATCAATGTATGCATACATGTGTGTGGGGTCTGTATGTACTCGCTGTGTAGGGTCCTGTCAGACTGTGAGATGAACGGCCCCCCCCCACCCCTCCCTCCTCCCCGCGAGCCTAAACATGCCTATGTGCATAATATGTGTGTCTGCCTGTCAGACTGTGAGATGAACCGGCCCCACATTTATAATCTGTTAATCCACATGAATCATAGGAAGTTTAAAAATGGCCAACATGACTTATGACTTTAGGGTTACATGGTTAATAGCATTGTATAAGGTTATGATAAACTGGATATGGCGAATTAGAAGTCACATTCAACAAGTCCATTAGAAGATGTTGTTTTCATGTTCTAATTTCAGCTTTTCTGTCTCAGTGTACTGTGATATTTTCACACAATATACTGTGCATGTCATAGAAATACATCAAATATTGTGTATTTTTTACTCATGTAAAGATTCACAGGCTCAGTCCTTGTGCCACCATGCTAATGGAAGCTGGTGAAACGTGCATTGCCATGTGGCTGCTGATGACCTGTAGGGCCCCTGTCTATTAGGAGAAGTCTATAGTCCTGACACGTCTGCATGCCCAGCTCTGCTCTGGCCTGTCTGCAGGGCCCCTTTCAGCTTGGGCAGTGCCCCATCGAGCTGCATCTGTCGCCAGCTATATTTAGAGGGTGGGACAAATACCTTTCTCCCTGGATATGAACTTCAGCTGACAGACAGAAGGCCAGAGTAGGCAGACAGGAATCTGCACAGTTTGTAACCTTGAAGAGCTTGTTAGCCCCAGGCTACAGCTGACTGTAGTCACACTCACTACAGTGGTTAGCAGTTACAGCAGAACGCTAAGGCTGTAAATACAGCACAGTTGACCACAGTTAGCATTGAAAAGCTGGATTTGGCAGCAGTTATTAGAGCCAGTGCCTATAGTTCCAGGACTGCTGCCAACATGAGGGAGAATATACGGTAATGTATTTCGATATAGAGATTTAGTACTTTTCCCTCTGTGAGTTATAATAATGAATGAATTTCTGTGGATTTGAATCCCCTTCAAATAGTCCTACATTTCTGCCTATAAGCATTTGTGTGTGTGGCAGTGCCAGCGAGGCAGTCAGTGTGTGATATGTGACCATGTTGCATGGCCATCTGCTATATATAACCGTAAACAAACGCAGGCAGGCCAGCTTCACAGTATCATTTCCAAGAGGTCTAGGCCGGGTAAATGTATTCATGCTTTGGTCTCTGGGTAGATGCTGTAGAGATATGCCCTAGAAACAGGCCATGGTTATGCAATAGCATTCATAATTCATTCCACAAACACAATATGGAGGCCACTCTGTCCCATATGCAAACACATGGCCAGATTAAGGAGTGGGGAGCCAAAGGGGACAGAGTGCATTCTTAACTGTTAGCAAAACCATTGACTGTCCATCTGTCTCAATGACAGCTTGTCTGTGACAGGCCTAAATAGGCCAGGTCTTACTGCTGGAGGGACCTCTGCTATATTTTGCACCTAGAGTCTAAATCAGTTACATGCCAGCAATGATACACACTGACAGTACATTTTTACAGCATCACCCTCAAGCAGATACAGATAAAGTACCCATATATACACTCATTATCATAGTTTATAGTGAGTAAATTATTTCATTCTCATGAAACACAAATGACAAATAAAGTTCCTGAGATGTCAGTTTTCACTCTTTACGTCACTCTTTTCACTATCACTCATCATAGTGTATGCTAAAATACTGGAGGATTTTGTGTGACTTTGTGTGAAGTTTAGCAATGGGATGATTCTTTTCAAAAGAAAAGCAGCAGCAGACACCTACTGGAAGCTCGATGTATTATTTGTGGTCTTGGGGTCAGATGGAGAGGAGGATTTTAATAACATCTGCACATGTAATCAAATGCCTGGCACATGCAGAATTTCAGAGCTGCACGCAGCAAGCTACTGTAGCTAGAGGTGGTAGGGGAGGGTTACTAAGTGCATATGATACAGGCACAGTGGGGTTTGAAGCTACAGCTAACAGTGCACTGTGGTGAGGGTGGAGACAGGTACATGAGCAGAGGTTAAAGCTTTACCCATGCACTCTGGCTCTAGAGCAGTTGCTATGGGTGGGGTGGAGGAGAGAGGGAGGACTGATGGAGGGTGGAAGGGAGTCATGAAGCTGTGGGCCCTGCCAGCACATTTGCCCCAAAGGAAAAGAACCGTTTATGGCGTCCACCCAAGGTCAGCCCTTTGAGAAGAAGAGCTGGGAAGGGTCCAGAGGGGAGGCTGCTTGTTTGTATGCACTCGGCAACAAATAAAAATCACATATCAAAAAAAGACATATTAAGTATTCTATCATTGTACAATGGAGCACCTCTTTTCTCCAGTTCCTCTCTGTTTATTTTAATTTGCTTCTTAACCCAGCATCCAGTTGCACCCACTTTTTCTCCCCCACTTTCCTCTGTCCCTCTTATCCTGCTACCTGACTACTTTGGCAGCGATACACAAAATGGCGGCGGAGAGCTGAGAGCTGGAAGGCAGAAAGTGGAAGCCATTTTCTAACAGACCCAGGCCCCGACACAGAGAGAGTCAAGACTTTCTATGCCTAGTGGACAATTAAGGGTACACCCCGAGTGTGCACTAAAGATTATGTTTGTTTTTGTTTTTTTAATCTACTGCACTAACAAGCCATTGGGACCACTTGGCCTTTTAAATGGGATAAAGGCACACTATACAGCCATTATGATTTAATCTAATGCAGGCTCACATTATAAGTCTCACAAAGAGAAAAAAAAAAATAGATGTAGCCAGAGCAAGTTACATGCCATGCATATAACAAATGAAACTTATGCAGCATCTTATTACAGACTTTATCTCATTAAATGAAATGCAAGACAATACAACCGCATTACAATACATCATTAAATAACAACATATTACATTTACAATGCATTATGGTACTTACAATGCTGCCGAGATCGCCAGTCTGTCTGTCCGTGATTTCACTTGTTGACCAAATTGTTTGTGCCTGTGGCTGAATTCAAAACCAGTCTTACTGCCTACAAGAGGTAGAGAGGGATAGAGAGAGGAAGAAAAAAACAATAGAGAGAAGCAGAAACAGAGAGAGTGATCAGTTGGAGAGCCAACAGCAGCAGCAGTAACAGAGGGCTGTAGGGGCTCCTCTCTGTAGCCTGTTTACTAATAAGCTCGCCCCACGGTCTTGCCTGGCCAAGGAAACTCATTAGTGGAACATGTAACACACCGCACCCTCTCTGCTGGCCTGTACAGCGGCCAACTCTCACTGCCGCATGCTCACCCAACACCAACACACAAGCTCCGCCGTGGCCTTGGCCTTGCCCAGTAGCACCCACTCGCTGCATACATGCTCACACTTTGGCATGCTGTATTACTGAAAGCCTACAGTGTCATGTGTGTGGGTGAAGTGGTGCATATGCAAGCATAACAAGTGATTTTCTAAAGATGCGGCACAGTATGTTCATGTTCACACATGAGGCCATGTACTGTAAAGACTGCATGGCGTTACTGTACGAGGCGGCTTCTGACATGTGCCTGTGTTATCTTGTGCATACGTAGGCGTGTGATGCCAGGACCATCTGTGTGGAGGTAATATGGCACAAAGGAAAACAGAGGTAGTTAGTCATCATTAGTCAAATCTCAGATTGCGGAAAAATAAAAAGGGCGACCGAGATAAAGAGAGACGTGAGGGCTCTCCTCTAGCAGACCAAGGAGGACACTGCCAATTAAAAGGGCCCCCATTCAGTGTGGCGGCGGCTGCTAAAGGGTGATAATTCTGTACAATTGCAGCGCAGGACACGGCCTTGCCGGGGAAGGGTCTTTATATATTGTTTCTAACGTTTGTAATTACAGTTCAGTGCCTTGGTCGCCGCCAGCACATGTTTATGGGCTCATGAGTAACCCAACTCCTCCAGCCCATGGAAGGAGATTCATGTCCGAGCTGTGCACTCACTGCACTCTGTGTGTGAGGGTGTGTGTTTTTTGTGTGTATATGCATGTTGATGACTCATGAAGCCTGGGCGAGTTTGTGCAGAGGAGATCCACAGTATATTAGTATATTCCACATGGATCGCTGCAAGTATTAGGAAAAACCCCACTATGTATAGATATATAATGTATATATCTTTTAAACTGATCCCAATTACAAAATATTTTCGAGGTTGTCTGTTAGGTAGGGCGACTTGTGTGGTTTTTGATTCCAAATCCTGAAATGTTTGGTCACCCTGCCATTACATAGCAGTCTAAACAAGGAAACCTGAATATATAAACAATACTGGAGTGCTGAATTACACAGTACTACAAAGCATTACTACAGTCGTAGAAATTGCAGTCAAACCAGTAAAAGAAAATGTAAGTAACGACATATCAAATCATATAGTATATTTAATATTCATTTTTACCGTACCGAAATGAGTAACAAAGACAGCTCGAGCCAGCGTAACACTAAGTGTGGAGTAATTTAGCTCAGCACTGATGAACAGTAAGAAAGTGATGAGGTGGGGGTGAGGTAAGGGAAGGGATTTGCAGTATTTTGATAGTTGGAGAGTTGCAGGCGGGGCCTTTCAACACTTCCAACTCTACCTCCAAGTGGAACGATTTTGCTGATTCTACAGTTTTTCTATGACTAAATTACCTTGGCGACAGCAGAGGCCAAAAGCTGAAGAAATATATGGGTGTTGGAAAAGAAAAGTTGGGTGGGCGCAAGCGTTATCTGGAATATCGCTTTTCCTGGCAGGTACATAAAACAAGTATCTATCTCGACGAGTGCTGCAGGACACTCACACGTGATGCTGTAGACCTCAGACTAAAGAGTCTCTAAAACACATATTAGATACATAGAGTGGTCAACAAAAGTTTTACTTAAATAATTATAAATATTAATTTAGTTGGGTGAAAGAAAATTTAGACAAATTCCCGTGAGAAAGACTTTTCATTGGGTAAGAAAAAAAAACACCTTGACCTCAGCTAAAGGGCCCATGATGTAAAGCAACCAGGTGAACTTGGCACAGGTCTTGTTTCAAAATGTCTGGAGGAAAAGAGGGGGAGGCACATGGGAGGAAAATCTACATCATCTGTCACCCCCCCCAAAAAAAACCTCTCCCCCAGTCCAATATTATGTCATTATGACTGTGCTCACCGTCTCTGTGGAGTTGCTGTGGTTTTGTAGATAAATTACATATGACACTCCCAGCTGACATCTTGATTAATACATAGTGAATAAAATGGCCCCCACTCCTCAGTAGTCAACGGGATACTGGACTAATGGCTTCCATGTATGGCGAGAGAAGTGAGGAGTGTGATATGTGTGTGAGTGCATCAGCATCTGTGTCTGTTAATTATTTTGTGTATTGAGACTGTAATGTGTGCTTTTGTGCAATAATTTTGGCACTTGCATACAACACCATGTATATGTGTATCAGGGTCTCAGCCTCTTTGTCCAGGCTCTCTCCTCTCTTTTCAGGCCTGGCCTACTTCTTACTGTACTGTAGTGCTGATCCTGTGCGAGTGCACCACAGCCTGCAGTGGCCACTGTAGATCCATTCATCTGCCCTCTCACATTCACAGTACAGGAGGGCAGCAACAGGGAGCCTGACCAGCTTCATCCCAAGAGTATGGAAAGTCAGATGGGTCAAAATTCACCTGGTTTTAGTACCGTCAGGCCATTTTAAAGTGCTATCAGGCTAAGCGGTGCCAGAGCTGTTAAATCCACTGTGTAATTGAGCTGAATTTTGAAGAGCTATGAAGACCACACAACCATAAAGTTTTACTGGTTTACAGCATTTGCAACATAGAGAAGTTAAGTTCTTCTTCCAAAGTTAAATTACACGTTTTGTATGGGTTTTTGTTTAAAAATCTCCTCTAGATATGTATTAGGACAAATATAAAAATTGTCTACTTGGAACAATAAAGTGTGTCTGATATGTTTTTTCTACAAAAAAGTATGATTTCGACATTAAAATCCTTAAAAAGGCATCTACTCATTTTACCTCATAACATTTTTTAGAATCTATTTGCCTGCCAGGCACAAGATGTCTCCTACTTCACTTTAAAGTCCATTTACAGTGTATGTGCACACTGGTGGCTTCAACTTTCTACACCACAGTTGTATAAGTTGCATACTGGACCAGGAATGATCTCAAAAATCATGCTCATAGGCTCTGCACCTTGAAAATCTGATTTTCAACTAACATAGAGAAATTGTGAATGTGAATGTGAAATCATCCTTCTAGTGTCAAACTCTGCACATAAATGATTCTGCACAGTGGAGCTCAAACACCCAACTGTAGGAACAACAACATAGTTCTGACTGGAGGGGTACTTTAAAATGTATAGAACTAAAAACATATTTCAAACTTTAATACTGTTTTTTTATGATATAAATTGATTGAAGATTAGCAATAAGATTCATAATATAATTTATTCTGAATAGATTTAACCAACAATTGAATGACAAACAGATCACTTTCTTGACACTGATTCTTGAACCAGTGACTGTCATAAAAGAAAGTTGCCTTATCAATTATACTACTGGGACATATATCCCAACATGATCATGTATTTATTTAACACCGCTCTTATAAAACAACTGATGTTGCTAAAATCAAGAAAATTTGGACACATTTGGTGTTCCATAACAGAGACACAATTTTCTATGCTTCAAACATTTGAGCAATATAATCGATGTACAAATCTGTGTATAATTACTCAAGACTACCGAAGTATATTAACGGCTGGCGACCCATTTAGGAATTTTGCATGAGTGAGAGACGTTATCTGGTAGTATATGGACAAGGATATTTTACAAGCATGGACCAGTTACAGCATTTAGATTGGCAACGTCATCAACAACAAGACTCCTCGACACAAGGCTCACCTACTGGTGTAAAAATAAAATTATAAAACATACAAGGAGGGATGGGGCAGAGAGAGAGAAAGAGAGACAGAGGTGTTGTGTGCTTTGCATTCCTGTCATCAACCCCTGCAGACGATTATTTTTGTGATATGAACTCCAGACCAGAGTGGCCCCCCTTGGTAGAAGCTTCGGTCGTTCTCACTGAAACTTCGATGCCCAAAAATTAGTATTCGGGATAGCCCTAGTAAAATGTAAAAGAATCTGTCTCACAGGTTTTTGAACAATGCACTGACCCTAGGTGTGCCAGGCTGCCAAAGTGGGAAATTTAAACCCTGCTGCATTTGCAATGACTTACTTGTGCTAACCTGTTGCATAGTGTTAGTTACTTTGTACCACTGTTTAACATCTATCTACGGCGGAACTGTAAAGTTGTCATATTGATACCCCATATAAAAAAAATTTCAACCTGTAAAATATCATGTCAGATTTTATTTACCATGTCCTTGAAAGTAAATGAGTATCCACTTGAACTTGGAAAATGTGGTTGCTTCTGCTTTAATATTGTCTTGTGATCAGAAAAGGCTAATTTCTTTGAAATTAAATAAAAACGGAATTTCAAATTAAATGTATTTATTTCAAAAAGTCTATTACCGTATTGTTAACAATGAATACACATTGCCATATTGTTAAATATATAAAAAATAAAATGTCAGTGAATTGCTCACAACATCAAAATCCTTTTGCAGGACTACATTACATTTTTAGTACTGGCAACCCAGGCAGTACTGTATGTCAATCAAATTCCTAAGCCTGACAGTCCTCCAGAGTGCTCAGACATACAATATAACTTTCATTATGGTGGGCTTCTCAGTTTTATTGTACTTAAAACACACACTGAAACCGTTTTAGCGGGAGAAATAAAAGGGGCTTCATTATTATGGCAGAAAAATATATTTACAGTGAGTGCTCACTTGGCCCCCATTCACCACTCCAATCTGGATTTCATATTAGCCAGAAGGAAATTGGATGGAATTCACAACATCACAGCAAGCTCATAAATGAAACAAAATCACATAATCTTAAATACCAATTTATCCACTTAACAAATGAAGCAGTGTATTTGTGGCTTATTGCTGTGTTGTACTGGTGAATGACTCATTTTCACTGTGTGTTGCACTAGTAAGGATAAACTGAGCACTGGCACATGACCTAAACCACATACTCAACACTTCAAAAGTATCTGGCAGAAATACTCAGATCCGGAGACATATAGTAGCCTATACAGTGCTGCTACACTGCACATGACCATTCAAATGTACAACAGCAAATATCTTATTCAAAAAGTTTTATAAAGATCAAAATCATCTTTCATCTCTATTTATATAACACAACTGAACACTAATATTAAACCCATGAACTGTTAATTCCACGAGTTAACATGTGAAATTGTGTTACAGATTTTTTATATAAAGTATGCTTAACTCAGACGTGGGACAATGTCTCTTATGTACATGCATATACTTTTTTAGTCTTACAACATTATTGAGAATAACAAATAATGGAATTCTTGGTGCAACTGGGATCATCCTAAATTAAATAAGTTCACGTACAGCTGCCTTGGTATACTTTTTTCGATACTAGTCTGAGGGCATATTTTTTCTAATACTTATCCATTGCATATATAAGTATCAAGAAAAACTAAATGCAGAGAAAAATGTTTTATGATGACCCTTGATAAGTCAAAGAATAATAATAAGACACTGGGTGGATTTGTGTATGTCAAAGACGAAAAAAAACTGGCAATATTGCAGTAACCTCAATATTATAAAAAATCCATAAGGATTTACAAAAATCACCAGCAAGTAATCCAGCAACCAACTGGAGGACACACAAACAAGCACGCGTATGCATGCATTGTTGTTCACACACACACACACACACACACACACACACACACACACACACACACACACACACACTCAAAATCATCAGCAAGATATGCTGAGGCTGTGTATTCAGGAAACAATAATATAATCTGTGCACTAAAATCCATGCTATAAAATGATATACATTCTTCTTATTATATACAGTTATTTTGTTTTATGCTTTCCGTTATATATATTTATTTATATATATATATATTTCACTCTGCAAGCACTTTATGGCAGATTTTTAAAAATTCTGTAAGAGTTTTTTTCTTTACATTTAAAAATAAGGGAGTATGTTATTTTGCAACATTTAATCCTTTTCTCTTGATATACGTCATCATATTTTTTTATGTGAAGCTCAAATCTAATACAAATTAAACAAACATTAAAGGTAAACTAAAAATAATAAAAAAGTATTTTTTAATGCCTTAATTACATATAATAATAATTAGTTACAATTATTGTGAACACTGAAGAACAATAGTTTCACACAATGTATAATTTATCGTGTTCATTTTGGCATTTTTTGGTTCATACCTATAAGCACTGAAGTTTTGAGTTGTTGTCACTTTACATTTTTGGCACCTTTGCAAAAACATATAGTACTTTACAGTAACTAGTATATTCTAAGGAAAATACTAATTAAAAAAAAAATGTCATTAAAAATACAGAATGTCTCATTCAAGTTCAAGGCTGCTGTCAAGTTCAAGTTTGGGAACTTGTTGTTCTGGCTGTGGCCTACAGTTTCCTTTAACTCTGCTTTTGCAGTATATTCATGAAACACTAGTACCTCTGAATATAAAATAAAATAAAAAAAATCTATAGAAACTATATGAAATATACTGACTGATAAAATCTATTAAAAAAACATTTTCGACTGTTGTACAGGTTTAAAAGAATTAACACTTTGAACACACCATTTCATGGTGTCAAGTCTGAGACAAATATAAAAATATGTTCACTATTGGTAAATATCTTACATCCCACAGAAAGAAAGTTCTTAAATTATACATGCAAATATGTACGTTTAATTGTGTTGGCTACTTGTATTAACGTGTGTGTGTGTATGTGTGTGTGTGTGTGTGCGTGTGTGTGTGTTCCATTACTGGCTTTGCTGTAATTGCTATGTAGCTGCAGTAAAGCTGAAATTTGCCTCAGTGCACAGAATGCCTCATTGTGGGCAATACCAGGCTGTTGGATTGGTCAGGTATACTTTTACAGAGAGAGAAAATACTGCAAACCCTCACCACCCTGCCATCTGCCTCTCAACATGCAACCTTCCCCTGGACTCCTGCCATCCACTGCTAAAAAGGCCTTAGGGGTGGAGTAGTGTGATTCTCTGGCAGCCAAAACCATGTGTCCACTGCTAGTTAGGCAGAGGTTATCATCATATGAATGAACATAACTTTTTGGAAAAGCTGAACCTGAATCTTGAATCACCTGAAAGTTGTGAGTAAGATCAGGTTGGCTTTGCCCTTCAGTCTTCTTTTATATGAACACTGATAAGCAGCTGAACATCTGAGCCGATATTAGAAATCCATAGCCTAAAGTAGACCAAAAAATTGAAGATTTTCAAGAATCAACTGCTAATAATTCCAGTTTTAAAAAAAAGTAATTAGAAAACAGTGATTACGATGTATTTGGTTGCCCTTACAGGCAATACCACAAATTAAATACTATTTAGACCTGGGGTTTGTAAATTTACACATAAATGTCTCATTCGCTAATGCAACCTGAATTTTCCATTAATTTGATTAAGTTAACTCCCAAGTACCTGACAAAGAACCAAATGAGACTAAATAAATTAACATTTTATTTAAAAAAAAACATCTATTGTCAAATTCAACATTTCGCAGTCGTTTTTGTGAAATTACTTCATGACTGCTAACACAGGTTTATTGCCCATTCAAGTTTGTTCTTCGAATGAAAACGAGGGAATGTTTTACATCAATATAATTTTGATAATTTTCATTTTGAGGAGTCTTTACACTTACGTCATACACGTCATAAATGTTACTATGCAAAGCAGAAATCCTGTGAAATCCTGTGTTAGGCATAGATCCACTAAATAAATAAATAAGTAAATCAGGAAATTATGTGATCAACATTAGAATTAGGTGTTTAGTGACAAATACCTTCCAAATGGAAAAGTGATGGACTCTTTTATTTCTTCTTCAGTGAAATACAAGTTTGGCAAATACTTGACGCGAAACTTCAAATTCAAAGAAATTGAGAATATTCTCATTGAAATTAAGCTGACAATCAAAACGATCAGTACACCACGTACTTCTCTTCATCCAGCACATACAAAGCCCGGACCACATCACTCATATGAAATACCTCCACAATCGTGGCCTTCCACTCATCCACTGATTACCATGAAGTAGGATTATCCTGGCAGCAATCAAAGTGCTATTAATAACTTTTGGTTTTATATTACTAAATTACAACTAGGTTTTTGTGGAAGCCTGGAAAAAGTTATGGAAAAGCATTCTCAGAGTCAAAGGAATAGCTCTGTCGCTCTTATATGTGCTATGCTCCTAAACTACATGGGCATGTAGTCGTTTAGATTCAGACGTATTAATGCGCACTCAAGTAAAATGAAACTTGTGTAAGAACCTCAAGTGCATCAAAGTACAGGGTCCCTGTTAAACATTGAATGTTAAAAGATGTAAACACACAAGTAGACTTCCATCAAATGCATGCAAGTGTACACATATTAACATAGATATTACTCACCAATTTTTCAAAGCAAGTCCGGTCGGGATGCGAAATTCGGCAGCTCTTCCTGTTTTGATCCACATCTCTGTCAAGGAGAGGAGAAAGCCATAAGCTCCTGTTTGGTGGTTCTTGCAAGACTGATTTCCCTCAGATTGTTCCCGTCACAGCTGGGCCTCAGCCCCAGCTCCAGCCTGAGTCTCAGCCTCAATCTCAGCTCCAGGCTCACTCCCTCTTCCAGCCACAGTCTGAGCCCCAAACTCAGGGCTGCATGGCTTGCCTGCCACTGGCTGGGTCCAGGTCTGGTGAGACCTGAAACAATAGGAGGCCATGAGGCTGTCTGCAAGGCTCCAGCTAAGCCCGTCTGCTAGTTAAGTCTTTGAATGAGGAATGTTAGCAAACAGACAAACAGCATGTCTGATGCATGCAAATAGCACAACCAGTCCAGTCACAGCCTTGGCTGGGCACATGAATAATTCAGCAGTCTATATGCTGCTCTCCCACATTGCTCCCTCCCTCTTCCCAAATGAAATGCCTTCACTAGAATAAGTGTGGTAAAGTATTCAAACCTCTGCTTTACCAACAGCCTTGGTCACAAAAATCCGTTTTAATACTTCATACAAACATGCAATAATAGCACAAAGTGGCCATGTGGAGACACAACATGCAGGCCTACTTCTGACATTCCGCCTTAACAATTCAAAATTTGGCAATTACTAAATATTTTCTCTTATTGCCTTTTAATGTCTTTTGTTTGCAGTTGGCACCTGTCCCAGAAAGAGCTCCGGCTCAGCACACCACTCTCTCCCCTGTTAGGAGATCGAGTCAGTGTGAAAGAGAGAGAACAAGGGAGAGCGAGAGACAGAGACACAGAGAGAGAGGACATGGGAAGGAAACAGAAGAGACAGAGAGTAAAGATGAAGGAGGTGCGGTACTTCACGCCAGTCGCTGGCGCTGATGAAGGACATGTCTTTAAAACACAGATGTGTACCATGCTAAGATACTGGTAACATTCTCTGTTTGTCATCCATAGTGGTCATCCAGACCAAGAGCCCACCACAGGTTACTCGTCAGAAATGGCGCCCCGGCACTCCAGGTGGAACAAGGCCCATCACATGGCGAAACACCACCTTGACGAATTTCCATCCAAAAAGAGAGAAACTAAATAAATACTGCTAGAAACCCATCAGCAGAGGAAAAAATAAGAAGACGCGATACATTTTTAGAAAACAAAATACAGAAGAACAGAAGAAACAGCGGCAAAATCCAAAGTGATGCAAAAATAAATGCGCCAAAAGTAAGAAAAGGCCCCTAAAAAGCAACTTGTTGCCAGGTTTTGCAGAGCTGCTGTGCAGCTAGTTGGAGGCAGAGGGTTAAAATCCAGCTAGTAGTGAGTGAAAAAAAAGCTCCGTCTATGGAAGGGCGGGCTGTGGGGAGGCCCTGACTGTAGAAATAGCAGCAGACTTTTTTTCTTTTTTTTCCCCCTCACAGAGCTTAAGTCTCCCCCTTGCGTGTGGCTGGAGCAGAAAGAGGGGAGCAAGCGAAACAGAGAGAGGAAAAGAAGAGAGAGAGAGAGAGAGGAAGAGAGGAGGAGACAGCAAGCGCACAGTGAAGGGGAGAAATGCTCCGCTGATGATGAAATAGGAGGTGCGGCGGAGCGCGCAAACCAGTCACTTTTTCATCACATGTCCAACACGGCAAGGATTTGCACTGGAGACGGGGGAGAAGGAGGGAGGAGGGGAGGGAGGGAGCATAAGATGGGTGGGAGACAGAGACACAGAAGGAAAGAGAGAGAGGTAGAGTGGGAGGGTGGAAAGCACTCCATGTGGGAGGGGTGGAGGAGGAAGAATGACACAGAAATCCACTCCTCCAGCACTGCGCAGACGCAGTCCACACACTTACACGCCATACTGGGATACACTATACAGTACCTCAGCTACTATATCAACTAGTGAAAAGAAAAGCGGGGAAAAGGAGGATACACAGTCATTCAGAATGGACTGCCCCACTGAAGGATCCTTAAAATATGCAACACTTCTGAGAGCTGGTTGAATTATTAACCTTATCTCTTACTGTAGCGGGGCTCTTGTCGCTGCAACTGTCTTGGGAGCACACACACACACACACACACACACACACACACACACACACACACACACACACACACACACACACACACACACACACACACACACTCTCCAAGTGCATTAACTCTTCAGCATGCCACAGTTACCAGCGTGAATGCACAGAATAGACCAGACACGGGCAAACACACACATAGGAAAAAAGATAAGCTTCCAGTGTTTATTTCAGTAACATGTGCAAAGAACGCACGACTAGGACCCTCCTCCTCGCTCCGACTCTGTCACAAAGCGAGCTGAACGCTGCAGCTGAATCGTTGCAGCTATTTTGGCACAAAGCCAGAAGGCTGATAAGCATTTTTGGGTGAGACTTTGCTGCTTTTCCTTGAGGAAAAACAGCTGCCACTTGCCCGGTAAAGCGCATTCAACAGTTCAGAGAAAAAATTTCGAGAACCCCGCACCCACCCCCAGAGATGCTGATTCGTCCTGCTTAAAATAGAGGAGATTTACATGCAGAGTAAGCAAGCCAGAGAGTTAACCAGAAGGAGAGAACCAAAACAGAATGGCTGTTTCCACCATCTTAGATTGTATTGATTATTCTTTGCTGTAACGTCTGTCTCTCTCACACACGCTAGCTCTTTTTCTCTCCCTTTCTGTCCCTCCCTCCCTCTTTCTGCCTCTGTTCTGCCACCTTCTCTACTCTGCGATCAGCATTTGGCTTTTTCCATTTGTGGCAGATTACTGTAACGCTATTGTACAACAACTTCCTGCCTCTTTTGGCTCTGGTTCTAAAAACTGTAAAGGCAGAGCTGGTGGCTTCAACTTTTTCCCCTCGGCCTTGAACTACAGGAGCTCTATAAGGAAAGAAAAGAAGGAAGGAGATATGTGTGTGTCTGTTACTGAGGAACTATTTTCATTGCATTTCTACTTTATAAACTGCTGAGAATTAAAGAGGGCAAGAGGGGACTACATGCCTTGCAGAGACAATGAAAAAGGTGGGGGTTAAACTTTTCTTACTTTTACTCTGTGAAAACTCTCTGTTGGTTTTGGAGGGCACTGCATTATTAGTGGGGCTCAAGCTCACGCAGATTTGTCGAACATGGCTGCTACTGCTTCAGGCTGCACAGTTTGTGAGGGCTGCTTTCATAGCACAGCCACCACCCCGTTCCTCGCCGGCTCTGTTTCTCACTATAGCAGCACAGAAACTAGATTCTGTTTTCCCCTCTGCACTTCTCTTTGCTCCACAAGTTTCAATAAAAAAACAACAACAAAAAAAACACAGGTGGCCAAACACAAAGTGCAGACAGTCAGAGCAAAATGATTATTTACACCAACTTTGTGCAGGAAAAGGCTGGACTGCATTTTGTTTATTCCCTGTCCTCCTTCCCTAAATGAGATACGAGCTTGGTTCAGGCGTCTGCATTGGCATGAGCTATAGAATCCTGTTAGAAGGAGTGCAGCTGTACGTCACATCTCGCCATGTGTTTTAACCAATTGAGAAACCCATGACTTCATTATGGCTTCAATGTATAAAGCTGCAATGTCAATACGTTAAGAGGCCTGAAAAATAATGTAGATCATAAAACAGAATATTTTCCGGTCCGAGCATTAAACGTAGCAGTTTTAGAGAGGCACACTTTGTGTATTTATGCTCAGTGAGCGTACAGCACTTTGAATGGCATAAAGTTCATTTGAGGATACAGTTTTGGTTTTGGGTTGCCTGCCAGCTCGTAACCACAGTGCTGCTAAACATTGTTTCTCTGCTGCATTTGCCAGTAATTGATCATGTTTTAATTTTACAGTCATAATTTAGAATATTTTAGCAATACAAACTTTTAAAAATGATTAAATAAATCTGTTTCCGAAGAAATGCACTGTTGAAGGTGCAAACCTGTACTATTTCTACTTCTTACTACTACTAATATTTATAGCAGATTAAGTTATCAAATTATATATTATATATAAACGTTTTTAGCATCTTAATAATGACAAAAATGTGCAACTGCTCTTTGATTCACGTACTTAGAGGAAATAAGATGAGAAAGGTGACAGCTTTTCATCTGGACTACATGGCTGCAACATCTGTGTGATACAGAATTGTTCAATCAGGCCAATTGATGACACGATGTGAAACAAAATGGCAGATGCCGCCATGTTATGGATTCTGACCGAAATCATTTGAGTATAATTTTTAGAAGAAAAAAAAAAAACAACTTGCTCTCTAAATTGCAAACTGATTATGAAAAAAAACACAAGGTCACTACTTTAATTAGTCATATTAAAATGTCTATGTTTTGAATCTTATAAAAACACACCCCAAAAGCATAATAATTATACTACACAGTGGAATAAATATATGTTTTAAACGTATAACTTGAATAGCAATATAAACATTGCACATATATATCCAACTTTTGTAATAATAATTAGATTTGGGCTATTATCACAAAATTCATATAAAAAAATCAAATAATTGGGCCTCGAATAAATTTCCTGTCTCACACTGATTGAGCCCTCAGCCTCATATTCTATCAGTGTGCTGTGGTCTGCTGCAGTCAGGAAAACACACTAAACATATATTGAAGTGTAACACTTGGTATTACCGAAAGTTCAGATAAGGGGAAAGGACAAGGACACACATTATGAATATATATGCTGTTTTTCTATGGCTGAGGAGAGCTGGAGGAATATGAAATTGCAGTGAACACTGCATCTGCAAAGACTAACAATATTTGTACTTAGTCATTTGCAAACATCGGGGGGGTTGGGTTCTGTGCTTGGTCAGCAACCCCCACTACATTAACAGAGCAGACATGATATGTGGCACATAAAAACACATGTATATTCTAATGGACTTATTCAAGGGGATAAAAGCTAACCACAGAAGTATCCCTACACTACTAGGGAATACTTTATACTCTCCAGGAGCAGGAGCAGAGTCTATGAGGTGGTCTTGCTTAAGCCCTGCACGTGTCTAAACAACTTCTCTATTACACCCGAGACCTTTGAGGGCACTCCCCATCGAGCGGGGAACAAAGGCTATGACCCCTAGGTCAAAAGCGTTACACGGTAGGCCAAGCGGGCCCATTGAAGACTCCAGTGTTGTTTGCTTTGAGAAGGTAAAGATTACTAACACATTAACTAACGCCGATTAGGGGGTTATCCCTCATGGGACTGAGGTCCCAGGGCAGCACATCACGTCTTATTAACACAACCTAGTCTTTGACCCCACCAGTCACCTCATGCAGCCGACTGTGACCACCACACTCTGCTCTCTGTTCGCCCACACCACCACACACACACACACACACACACACACACACACACACACACACACACAATAAATGAAGAGTATCGCTGCAAGGTGCGGCACAGCTTGAAAAAACAATTTGTCTGGACAAACATGAACAAATGATACAACATTATCACTGTTTTTCCAGTGGTGAAGCACTCCTGTTCGAAAATGACGAACATTTGGCTTGCATTAGCAGGCTGTACATCATGTGTGCATCCGTAAATACTCATAATATTTCGAAAAAAGCACAACTTCGTAATTAAACATGATTGATTCAAATAAATTGTTTTCAAGGCCTCTGAATTTAAAGCACGTGTACTACCGAAGTTCATAAAATGGGAGCATGTGCAATGAAGTTCTCATCACAAAATGGTGGACACAAGTCATGCGCAGTATTGATGTTCCAGATGATCATGTGATGAAAGGCAAGAAAGGGACAATTTCGTCACAAATTCTTTCTGCCATGCTACTCAAACTACTACTTTTGCATCAGCAGAGAGGTAAAACTAAAATGTCGTGCTGAGCATACTTAACCCTGTGTGTCCAGAAAGAGCAAGCCAATAATACCTTAAAATGAGACATAAATCACGCACACCATCTTCGAAATTACTGCTTGTGATTAGATCGTTTGTGCTTGTCACTCATAAAATATAATACCATGGTAATATCAATTTAATTGAGCCAGAAGAATATCAGGATAAGTGATTTTTTCCCCTGGAGTGTTCCCCCAAGGTCAAGTTCATGCTTGTTCAAAGAATGTAAAAGTTGTCTCCTCATGAAAAAGCATTTATTTGATTTACTATACTTGATTGACTTATTTACTAAATTAATATATGAATCATTATCACATTAATCATATGAAATATATGTTATTTTTGAATTTGCTATTGGCTTAAAAAGCTGATTAAGATATAAATTGCTGTCTGCTTGCTCTCTCAGTGAGTGCTGCCCTAATTTATAAGAAAAATAAATAAGATTAAAGCCAATGCTAAATAATTATTTATTGGAAGTAGGTCAAGGAAAAATAATGCAAAAGTGTGGTATTTGAGTTTAATATATAATAATAATAATAATAATAATAATAATAATCATTATCATAATAATACTACTACTAATAATAATAATAATGTGTCGCTCTTTTCCCCCTTTATGTTAGCTTTATTGTAATGTCTAAGAGGACATTTATTATAAAAAACTAAAATGTCAAGGATACTGATTTTGACTTGGCAAATATTTAATAATGTATGAAATGTATGGGTTTGATGTATAAAACCCATCACATTTGTATTATCTTATTTAATTTTGAATTTTCAAAACCATAATTACACTGTAGCACATATATACATATAAAACAAGCCAAATGTTTCTGTTTCCTGTGCAGAGATACACAGCACAAACTTGTGCTTCACAAAACTTTCAAAAGTTCGTTTTTATGTGAAAACTAAAGAAAACAGCAAACTATGTAAACACGTGTTCAATTTTGAAAGATAAACCTCTGAGTAAATTACAATTTTCCATCTGTAAACATAAAAATTAGCATTCTGAATGGGATTTAAATTTATACAGTAAATTAATCTAATAAAGGCAATACTTTTTTCCTCAAGGAATATCTCTGATCATTTAGTGACACATTTGAAAACATGGCATATTTAAAATTAAATCATTGGTTGTAAATGCGTGAATTATTGCACTTGATTATTTTATTAGAAATGAATTCAATGGACTTTTCCTGAAATGTTTTAAAATGTGCTCTATTACAGTCTTCTAATCTCAAAGCGCAAAGGAGTGCATCGATTTTTGCATGTGCCAAACGCCTATCAGTTAGTCATATTCAATAAATCAAAAATATAACATCAGAAGAAATCATGTTATGAACAGTGTTTTAAATGATTTTAAAGACTTATTCTAAAGAAACTACTTTTGTAGAAAGGTCAAGTGCAGTGGACCAAATCCTCTTAACAAGAAAACAGACATAAAATCCTTTTTTAAGCAGGAATTAACTCACCTTGCTGCTTCTCACAGGCTTCTGAAAGAAGAAGAGGAGGAAAAGAGCAAAGAAGAGTTTCTCCTGGGAACAAGCTGGAAATTACGGACCTATTCGATATCAGACCTCAGAGTGGACAACCTATCCAAAGAGGGACGCGCCCTAACTGTAACTAACAACTACTTCTGGCAGCCCTTCAACAGCCAAACATATTGTCCTGGATCAGGGCAGCTTTCGTATGGCAGCATCAAACTAGGGCAGCTTAGAAAAGAAATCCACATCAAACTACAGAATCAATAATGGTATTTAAATGTTGATAACAATGCATTAAAGCTAAATGAATGGGCTTTTTAATGAGATATAGATTGGGCTGTAAACTAGAACCACTTCTCATCATTTGTTCAACTTTAAATATGTTAAGGTGATAGAGACTAGCGAGAAGGCAGATTAAACTAAGATTTTTCTATTAAATATTATCATATATAACCCACCTGTACACATACGTTTTTTATTCCTGTCATATTACAAGACCAAAATCGAAGCCTGATACAATATGGTATACTGATTCAACCATACTGTCCGAAGAGCCACGTTTCCAGTTGAGACTATACAAAACAAAACTACAATATTGCGGAAGTTAGTACAAAATGTTGTACTTTGTTGTAATTGTAATGTAATCATTTGATATAAAAAAAAAAACATCATATTAATTCAAGGATTCCTTTAAATAGAGTTGGAATTTATTAATTGTAATACCTTTACCTTTACATTATGACAGATATTTCAAAGTACACTTGTATAATTTCAGCAGCATAAATAATGGTTATTATTATTATAGTGTTAGTTAAACTGCACTGTAAAAATACTGAGCTAAGGCACAGGGACAAATTCTCAAAAGTCAATGATGGGTTATAATTAAAAAGAAAATGATCCTTTTTTGTCCACTTTACTTGCCTGCACCTACATGACAGAACTCTCCCTTTGCAGTTTTCCCCTGAGGGTAGTTAATACCTACTTTAAACAGTCTTGGCCATTTTGTTTTATTCTCCTTCAACACTAAGCCAGGAGTGCACAGGCCTGGCATTTTTGGGGCCACGTCACAACGCCTGTGTCTGCGCCGCAGGGCTGCAAGGAGTCCAACAGCCGAGCCATACACACTCAGCGGGTCATTGCCTCAACAAACACTTTATGTGTGCTGTTTTGTTGTCTTACATGCTCTCTCTAACATCCTTGCTCTACTGAGAACAGCATAACAGGCACCTAATACACTTTATCCATTTCATAAACTCCTCTTTCCATCTCCAACACTGACCCACTGAGCCTTCCCTTCCTGAGTCACTTCACAGCACTTTCTCTCCTCTGATTACCACCGTAAAGTTAGCTCAGTCACAAAATAGATAAATAAATGCTCATCCATTTCCCAATTCGGCAATGCCATTTAATGAGCTTTATAACCGTTTCTAACTTTCTGCACATTAAAACAAAATCTGTGTTGTCCTTTAAAAGGGGACATGGTACTGATACTGATTTAGAAGTGGCAAGGATAAAAACACTGATTAGGTAAATTCCACTTGGGCTGAGGGGCTGTAAATGATGGGTGTAATGTTATTAGCAGAGGGATATTTATCTATGTGGGAGAAAAGCAGCACTTCATAGGACAGCTGCGAAAACAGAGGTTTTATTACTCTGTGGGCTATTTCTGCAAATTTAGTGGCTATTTCAATTTAAGTTAAATATTATCTTTAAGATGACCAAAAGACATGGTTCAAATTTCAAAGAAAACTAATTTGGGGCAGAAACTGTACATGTCTAAAACTGTACATTGCACATATTTTTAAAATTATATTTATTACTTCTACTCTGTCTTTTGCTTCGTGTGGTTGTTCACATTTTACAGTACGCAGACGTTGAAAGTAATGATCCTCTGAGGACATAATGTTAAGAGACATTATTGTAAATATTACCCTTTATGGTACAGTACTTTGTTTCCTGCCAGATAATAATTGGCCAGTGTCCTGTAAGTGGACACATTCGTCCGCACAGATACTGTGACTTTTTCTATTACTCTGTATTATGGTATTAGAGGAGCAAGTACAGGCACTAAAGATGACATGCACATTCTGCAAAGGTGCTGTTTCTGGGTACACAGGGGTCGACAACTGGTTGATCTGTGTGCTTCATGCAGAGTTTTTTTTTGCTCTTACACGGTATACTGGATATACTGGGCTACTGGGTACAGAAAATGAATATGCAGTTGAAATTGAAGTTGTCTGTTGTCTTTCTTATTTAAATGTGCAATGACTTTTGTCTGTTTTTCATATAAAACCATTTGAGTTGCATCTCATCTGAAGTGTGTAATGAAAACAATTTATTATTATTATTACTGTTGTCATTATCATAATCATTATTTCTCATGTTATTTTAATGTGATTGAGGGAACAGGCAGCCTTGCTCCTCGTGATTATGGCTGCAGACACATAAAAGAGCTTACAGGGTAAACATTAGTTTATTGGTGCTACATTACTATATTGCTACTTTTTGTGATTCAGTGTCCCTGTGTGTAAATCACATGCACTCCTTATGCTAGACTGTGCTGACTAGATGGTGAGTAAGAAATCTCTGGTTTGCCAATCATCATCATCGTCATTATCAGACTAAAGGTGTGGACAGCATGCGAGAAAGTGCGATATGACAGCCCCTGACCTTTCACACCAGCTTAGAGAGGCAGAGGGTCATACAGAGGACATGGTGGTGGAGGGAGAAGTCAATCTTATCCTTCCGTTCCGCCACAGGCCTGTGTGCAGCGACAGCAAGATGAGCAAGTGGGCTTTCCAAAATCCACACTCGTTTGGCTGGGAGCAAGGCATCAGGGCCGTGTGTATTTCAAAGGAAACGCTGAGGAAAGCGTTTTTGTAGCAGCACCCCTGCACTTGACAGTGTGTATTAGCCTGCCTCTGTGTCTTTGCTCCGTCCCAACCCTGACTCAATATCCCTCAGCACCAATATCTGTCATCTTTGTTAGCCAAAATGTCATACAGCCCATTTGTCTCAGCGAAGAATTCTTCCTTGTCTCATCTTGATATGGTTCTCACGTGTATGGACATTTTTTGGTTTACAAACATCACCAGCCAGGGTGGGACATTAATTTGTCTGAAGTCTGAAACCTACCAGCTACTTCCATATTTCACCATATTTCATTTGGCTGGTGGTAATTTCCCACCCTGCCTCCAGCTCTGCTAAGCGGCGCAGGGCCGAGGGGTTAAAAGGCAGGAGGCACCGAAATGAGAGGGAAAGGAAAGCATCAGCTCTCGGACTGCTGTCAATTGAGCCTTGCCTCTGTAATGGTGGTGGTGGTGTGGGGAGGGGTGTGGTGGGGGGCAATGACCTGGCACAGAACCAGCCACTAATGCCCCTTAAATGTCAGAGACTGCAGAAAGCAAGGGAGACAGCAAAAACGAGAGCACATTCATATTTCAGTATGGCAGATGCTATAATGCGTTGATGTCTCACACTGAGTGCACACGAGGACACCAGGAGAGAGAAAAAGAGAAGACAGACATGAAAAACGGGAAATGAGAAAGAGAAAAAAAGGGGCTTTGCAGCAGTGATGGAAGCAGCTCCATCTGATGGTTGTCTCTATTCGACAAAGTTCAGAGTGGATCTGTCTCCCTCTCTCTCTCTCTCTCTCTCTCTCTCTCCCTCTCTCTTCTGCAGACGAAAATCTGGTGGGGTGGGGGTCGGGGGACGGGGGTTGAGTCTGGTGTTGGGGGTGGGGTTGGATTGCTGGAGAGAGTGATCTTTTTTTCCAGCGGGGTGAAAGGCGGACGGTCATGTGTGCAGAGCTCATGACAAAAGGCCCTTTTATGTGCAGCGTATGCAGATAGAGGAGGCTCCTTTGTGCACAGATGGAGATCCCATGCCTGGGTCTGCCTGCGGCGGAGAGGGAAGGGAGGGAGGAGAGGGGAGAAGAGTGTTGGTGAAGGGAAGGGAGGGGAGGGGTGTCTCTGGCACTGAGTGCCATCACTGTGTCTGGTGGGGGGGGAGGGGGCACAGAAAAGGAGAACCAAGCCGTCCTGGTCCTGCCAGGTTCATATATTAGGGAGGAGGGGCCATAAGGCTTGGTAAGAGGATACTGATAACTGGTAACCCCATGGTGTGACCACAGAGAGAGCCCCATCTACAGTCTAACGAGTGGACCAGGGTCAAATATTATTTGCAAATAATCTCCATTGTTTGCTTTTAAAAGCTTGGGAAAACATGATTTGCCACGTGTAGTGCCAGAGAGTTTAGACGAGTACAGGAAAGAATGTCAAACTTTTCTGATAACTAAGGATTACAGGGTTAGAAAAGCTTAACCTACTTTTAATGCCAACTATCACATTACTCCTAACTAGGACTGCACGATATGGTAAAAAATATATTATAAATATATAATATTGTGATTATTCTGACAGATGTTGTGATTGCGAGGTAGGCCCGGTCATCTTTGCACCACTACAGTGCTTCATTATAATGCTGTTTTGCCATACATTTGACCTTTAGCAAAAAATGCAGCTTCTGCAACCTGGATATTGCACTTGGCCATGATGGGATTTTGATAATATTTTGATCAATTGTGCACCCCTATTCCTAACAGGTTAAACAAGCAAACATAAGCGTCACTTAGCCACAGTTGTATTTGTTGAACTACTAATTGAACTGATCATGCAAATACTGTTGCTTTGACCCTTGCATTGTCTGTGTTATGCGTGTAATCTATCAATCTCTAGACAAGACTGCCAGGTAACAGCTCAGTGCCAAGTGATATGGTCGTTTCCACCAGTGGACAGATGGACAACACCTCCCAAGTTAACCCCTTCACATAAGGCTGAAGCTGCTGATACACTTGCACTGAGCTGAGAATTGTTAAAACAACATTACGCCTGTTCTTGCACTACTCTGGTCTCTGGGTACGGCAACTATGTCACTAAAATATGGTCAAATTCTTAGTGAGTTTCTGGATAGTTTCTTTTTGCTAGCTAGCGCAGTTAGTTAGCCGTGTGGCCCGGACTGAGACCTCAGAGAACGTGGGAAGTGTTTGTGTTTTTGAGGTTTTTAGGCCCGGGACAGGGGGAATGCACCAGCACTGGAGCTGGGCTCAGCAGAGGCATAGAGACCAAAAAGGACGTAGAAAGCGAGAACCAAGCGAAAGGCAAGAATAAATCTTGCACTGGCTTTCAGTCGTTGGCTTTGTGAAATAAAAGGCTGCAAGACAGACACCGAACTAGCCTTGCTGTTAGACTAGTGAGTAATATTAGCTAGCTTGTTGTGTGTTGTGTGGGTGCTGAGTTAGCAAAGTTGTTGACTCTCAAGGTTTCAAGATCATAAGTAATGTAATCAGAACAAATGCACACGTACAGCTGTTAATATTTACGACAGCTGTGTATAAGTCAATTGCAATATGAAACTGGGGGTGCTAGATCTAAAATAATACTAATAATGTTGCTTTGACATTCAAATGGAAAGGAATATGGAAAACATTGGAGTTTGGTTACTGAGATCTGTCTGGGGATGCATAAACTAACACGCCTGATAACGAATGAATTAATGTTAGCTAGCTAGTTAGCTCATTAGTTCACAATAGTAAGCTAGTAAGGGAATAAACAGTTTTTCCCCACCATAATGCAATTCAGTTGCCTTTAAATGAAACTAAGTGTGTGTTTTTTGACACTGGTGGTACAAGGTGTTCACAGTTTTAACCTACGAGGTCACTTCAAACCTACATTTGGCAGCTGGTCAATTTCGAGCCCTGACCATTATAAAAACAGATGTATCGGTCTCCGCGTATTAAGGGCCTGAAATAAGGATTTCGCCAATGTTAACTAGCTTCCAATAAGCTACCAACAATTGTAGCCTTCTAGCTAACCTAATATAACAAACCTATAAGATTTCCTTTGCCCTCTAGCCAAATAACACAAAATATTAGAATATGCTGCTCTTGTTGTCCGTTAAAGGACTGTTACAGCTAGCCTCTTTAACATTAAGGAATATTCTTTACATTGACATTTAACTAATCAAATGACTTGAGGCTTATGCCACAGAAAACTCACCACTTAGCAGTTATGCCAACGTCAGCCAATTTCACTGTTTTGTTTTGTCAGCCAAGCTGTCAAAACCATAACAATGCTGCTTTGTATAAAACCATGGACAGCCACTCCCAATGAAGAAGCTAACACAGGCGAAGTGTATCCTTACATTACCTGCCTAGTGGGAATGGTGACATGGCAGAGTAAATTATCTAAGTTATGCTTGGTGGAGAAATACAAATGTTTAGCAAACCGAAGAGACAAGATATTTTCCTCATACCAAACAGAGCTTATACACCAGTAATTATTGGCCTTAAATTCAACACGTGGTCCAAGAGGTGTCCAAATGGATTCCTGTGTTGTTCTGTTATGCTAGTTATGTAAATAACCCGTTAGCCACAACATGTTAGCCACAACAACATAACACTAAGCTAAATGTAATAAATAAATACATTTTACATTTCAATACGCATAAAAATACAGTTTTCAAATATGTTTTTTGCTTATTTATTTATTTATTTATTTTAATTATCACATTTTTGGTCCCTACATACCCCCATGGACTACTTAATAGTACTAGTAATGTATGTAGTAACACGTTCATATAGCCATACTGTGTAGTCTGACCCGTTATGTAGAGTTGAACTGAAGAATCTGAGACTGGACTTGGATGTGCACTTTATGACTCACCAACATCTTTACTCTGCTGTCTCGTTTTATCTCACTTACACACACTCTCTCTCTCTCACACACACACACACAAGCCAACCTGATGGCGAGCCCAACAAAGTAGGCTTAGGCTAATTAAAGTGATTAGGTGTTTTTGTCTGAGTACCGTCTTGGTTTCCTGGCTCTGGCCTAACCCATGCCCAGCCAGCCTGCAGTCTGCCTGCCAGGAGGCCAGGAATGAAAGGCTGGCACTTACCCTTCTCTCCTGTATCTGATCCCCTGTTGCTACCCTAGATGCCAACAAAGGTATTTCTGCCCCTAATCAACAGACAGGCAGAGTAAGGCAGTAGGGCTTAAAATCACAATAGTATTAAGCATTAAGATTATTTTTCTAATATTAAACTGGATATGTTTGAGCCAAATTAGTGCCTTAAAATGTTTATTAAACATTTTTTCCCCATTTAATCTTCATTTCATGACTTAAGTGAATTTACTAAGTGAAATCAATACATGCTCATATCTTCTCCTGGATCTATTTGATCTGGCTGTTTCTCACAGAAAGCAGATAGACAGTCCTAATATATTGCACTTTACTGAATCAAGACTGGTGACACACTTGGGAAATTTGGGAAAATAGAGTCAGAACAAAACAAAGACGAGAGCATGACGAAGATAGGGATGAAGAGGAAAACTCTCTTTGGCATGTTCGATATCCGCCTGTCTCAATTGACCTGTAAAATCTTCGAGACTGGAACAAATGCAAATAGCGCTGACTTGCTCGCACCAAAAAATCCTGAAGGCTTTTCAAATGAACTCACTCTCACAATGGTGGGGTGCCCAGAGCAGGGTGAATAGACGGTCTGAGCTCTGAATGGCACAATGTGTGTGAGCCAAACAGGGGAGCTGTGAAGTGAAGGCTCAAGACCCACCAGACCGCCTAGCACTGTTGGGCTGAACCTCGGCTGCTACAAAGCTGACCACCACCAACAGTCCTCTGCTCGGAAAATGCCTGGCTTACACTGCATCACAGGCCTGAGCTCACAAGGAAAACTTAATTAAATGGAAATTTAAATCAGAAATTACTAATATTAATAATTTTAACATTAAAAACTAATGTGGACACATCAATAAGATAGGCACATAACCCCCATAAAATTCTAATGTGTAGAAAGTGTATTTTCAAGGTTAGTGAGCTTCCTGTAAAACAGGGCAGCACTGAAAAATAGCAACTGTTCTCAGTCAATCCCTTCTGGATGAATTAAGAATAAAAAGTCGCTTTCTGACCTGAAACAACTCACTATAAAGCAGGTCCTTAAACAAAAGGTTTAGCTGCAACCTCCTTACACATGTGTCCCATGGTTACACAACAAATCTGACAGTAAATAGGTTTAATTCCTGTCAGTCATCAGCCATGCAACCTGTTGAAGTAGATATACTAAATGAAAACAGGAGATTGTAATGCTACAAACAGTCCTTTAGAAATATGGATTGATTCCTTTCTCCATTTTCTCAGTGCACATGTCACCTTTGTACCGTAAAAAGTTTTCTGTTATTGCTTTTTGAAATGTCTGAGCACCAATGTAGATAAAGTAGAAGACAAAAATGGTTAAATCACATAATCTTGAAAATAATTATAGCTTAAATAACACACTATTTATACTACAGTATATAGATACAGTGCTAGTGTTATTTAACAACTAAATTACATTACTTCAGTCATTATTCCTCTCCAAATTGAATTCTCTAAAGTCATAATTATTGCAGTAAATTCGGATTAGTATTTTTTTTATACTAACAGCTGAGAAAACAAACGTATCTAATGTAACATTCTTCCTAAGCACTTTTCTCTTTGCTTCTCTCTGCTTATTGTTAATATCAATTCAACAACATATTTACAATTTTAAAAACTCTATAATTGATGCTGAAAATTGTGGGACTCAAATAAGTCAAATAAGTCCACACATACTTTTTAAAATCCAGATCTGGCCATAACTTAACGTGGTTGATATACAGTACGTTTTAAACAGCACTTCATTGTACAGCTCCACTTCAGCGTCCATGACTGAGGAATGTTTTGGCGATATCTCTTTAAGAGAAGGCCGAGCTTACAGCTGTGAGAGCTCTCTGCTTTGCTGCTCCTCTTATTTCTACTTTCAAACTTCATTTTCAGCCCTTGCAAAGATTTTCAGAGCCGCTCTCTGGACATTGGCAGGCACTTTCCCCAGCAGCCAAACTTCCCAGCATGCCTTGTGGCGGGGCTGGCTTTGTTCACAAAGTTAACTGTGAAGTTCCTCTGCTCAACATGAGTCACAGGCTCTGTTTCACTCTTACCAGGTTTACATGAGATGCGTCGGTTAATATACTGTTAGAAGAATGACATTTTCACATGCACTGTCTCTCATTATACCAATATTTATTATTATTTCAAGAATCTCTTACAACTTTTGATGCATGACCAGTATTTGAAAGTTGGGGTTGAAAAAACGTCCAGTGGTTACAGCTGACATATAATAATGTTTTATATGAAATGTCTTCTTTCATCTCTCCAAATACTTGAATTAAACCACTGGAATTAAGGACATGTCTTCAATCACACTGCCCTCAGTCCACTTTCTATAACAGATGCATCATCAAAGCTACTTAATAACCCAAAATGGGACCTATTTTCTATGTTGCACAGCTAAATTACATTTAATCCTAACACCATGGAAACGGTTCCAACTCTTTTTCTGGATATTACATCTCTACTGGATGACATGCAAGGGACAGTACAGCCTGCCTGCAGCATCTGGTGGACACCTGTAAGACTGCAAGTCACTGGAGTGAATAAGAGAGGCCTTTGTGATTCTGCTAAGTCACCAAAAATCTGGGCCAGAGAATACTGACCCTTAGTGCTCCAGCCAGTTCCGAAGCTTTCAGAACGGCAGCCATGTAGGGTATTTAACCTCAGTGTTCGATCACTAAATCAAAAGCAGCATAAATGACGAACAGTCAGCAAATGGCAATAAAATTTCAACACCAATCTGGTCAGCCACACAAGACCAGAGGGCTGTAGTAGGAAAAGAAAATAACCTACTCAGATTAAACTCTGGGTTATCAAGGGAAGTCCGTGTATGACGGTAGAAGATGTTAGTTAGTTGAGTCGGTGTCAACTAAATCTGAGGTTGTCTGCGTTTGCATGAACAGGGGCGTGTTCAGCAGTGCAGGAAAAGTTTTTTCATAATGGCTCGTGCTCCATATTTGTTCCCAGAGGAATGTACAATGATAATATCAGGATATAAGGAGTTTAAAGAAAAGTTAACTGGGACTAATCTCACTGCAGTGCGGGCCAACAAAGGCAGGGAGGCTTGTTGGCAGCACATTGTCAGAGTAAATTCACAAGTAACATTACAGTGTTCATGTCGTAGGTTCTCTATTTCTCTCTTACAGACTTTGTGGTATGATTCAATGCGGTTGTGGGAATTTTCCATGATTTAAGAGGTAAATTGAAGGAATAAATATCTCAGAAATTGACCCGTTAATTTATTAACACGGATTAAAGCAAGAAAGTGAGTTATCCGGGGAAAAATTTACAATATATTGAATGAAGTAAATTAATTTAAAACTGCTCTATGCCTGAAATCAGTCATGGTGCCTGAGAACTTGAAGCCCTGAATTAAAATCTACTCCCTAAAGCACAGAGGCTGAAGGGCCACCTGTGTGAATGTAATTCTGCTGTTAGAATAAGTGTACAGTCAGTCACACCAATTCACTGGATTGGATTCCTCTGGAAATAAAGTGTTCTGTATATAGGCCAAGTCTATGTATATTAAAGTATTTCTATATTGTGAATTACCTGCGACTGCATAAAAAGCCTCTTTGATCATTATAACAATTGAATGGGAACATAACAGATGCCTTCTGGCCCTAGAAGCTGGCAGAGATAGTGAATTCCCTCAGATGAGAACTGATATCTTTTAGAGAGAACATCAGGGCAAATGGGGATTTTGACAGTCTCTTAACACCCTCGCCCTCCGCCCTCCACCCTCCACAAGATTGTGTACAGAGGAGAGGTGGTTTATAAGGTAACATTGAGTTAACCATGAAGATAACCAGCTTGGAGCAGTTTAGACAAGGATCGTAAATTGCCATGAAAACATACCTTGGGTAAAACCTATCCACCTTTAGCGGCATGAGTTAGCCTGGAGGTTACACCTGATGTCACAGAGTTACTCCCTAAGTTATCTGGATAGATAGGCTTTGTAGTACAGCCCTCAGGTTCTTGGGGTGGGCAGCAAATCAAGTCCTGCCATGTTTAGTTGTTTGACAGAGCAAAAACAAGTCACAACTACTTGTGCACTTTTTAATCTCACTTTTATCTCTGGAGTATAAAGAGAAAGGGATTCAGAACTGCTTCAGGTCTTAAAAACCTTTTTAACTTGAGATAATAGATGGTGTCTTTTTGGCTTTCACTACATTATACTGTAATGTTTTATCATAAAACAAACAGTTCTCTGACACAGAGATTTCGAATACTGTTTTGCATGGTTGTTATATTTCACAGATTGTCAGGTTATTGTGTTCATATAAAGTACTCACAGTGTTTCAGGGCCTTTTTTCTTTTGATTCATTGATCTGTTGGGTAAAGAAAAAACAAAAACAAAAACAAAAACAAAAACAAAAAAACATTGTCAGTGTGTGGGGGAAAAAATGAAATTGTGTCTGGTGGCAAAATCTTTAGCTCTCAAAGACAAAGAAAATTGGATCAACGTGTTTTAGAACACTTTCAGACCTGTATCCAGTGTGCGCTGTTAGCGCTTTCATTTATGAGAGCTAATCACTACAAGTGAACCAGATCACAAAGGGACAGTCACTGACACCAGAGCAATTACGTTGTACAGGTCTAATCCCTTACACAGCACTTAGGGCAGTTTTAAAGGCCACCAGGGCACAGTGTGGAGCTCCCTTAACTGTTAGGGTGCAGTTTGGTCCATTTTACAGCCACTGGGGCACAGGCCCGATTGTTAAGACAAGGGAAAGTAATCCCTAGAGTCAGGCCACTAAACCTGCTCTGTCCCTGTAACCATGGCAGCAGACAGGTAGTGTCTGGGTCACAGGGCAAACATGGCCAGGCTTCAGCATTGGCCGTCGGTTAATAAAAAACGAGCGTGGTGTGAATGCACACGCATACAGGCAAACAGAAATTCAAACGTGAACGTACGTGTACCCACATAAACATATGCACTCTTACAGAAACTCACACATGCAGGTTCAGGTGAAAGCTACCAGCTGACCTGAGAACTGATACGACCACAGAGCCGTACTGGATTTCAGGTAATCAACAGTGGCAGTGGATATTCAAGATGGCTAAAACACCCAATGAGTCACAGGGACCGTGAATGGTAAAAAGGGCCAAAAAATTATTCCTAGTTTTTGAAATAGTAAAACATTTGTAAAGTAATTCATTACTTTACATTTAGTCTCGGACACAAAAATGAATCATCCTTATATTCACTCACCAGAAGGGACGATGGATAGAGCAGGTAGGGAGGGAACGTATTAACCTATAACAGAAGCTGATTTTTCTTTCACAGGATGGTCTTTGCCACCAGAGCACTCTCTCTGCCTCTGAGAATTTTCTTTTATAAATATTATGGTCTCATTACATTACTCCATTATTGCATTATATTACATGTACAGTCTAGGCACTCCTTAAATACATATTTTAAAAAATAGAAACATTTCGAGGAACACATGCTGCTATCCCAGGCCCCAAAACACTGTCATCTGAAATAAAGGCAATAAATAATGATGCGCTGGGTACGAGAAGAATCATCCAGTTGGTCTGTCTTGCCCTTTTGAAAGAAACACATGATCTCCCCTGGCCTTTTCTCCATTTACCAGCTCTCCCTCTCTTTTTTCAGTTGCTATGAGACACTCCAGCTGAAGCCAAGGCTTCCACAATTCATTACTGGAGGAACAAAAGCCAAAGCACTGGACAAAGCAGGGCAGACCAACTCAAACCAGCTCCCACTTAACACACACATCACACCTCTGAGTGCTCTGCTGACATACAAATGGCCAATTCAAGACCTCTTCTTTTTCCTTTTTCTTTTTTTTTTTTTACAATGCCCGTGGGATAGATGAAGGAAGCGCTCAAGATACACAGTAAGAAGTCAACAGGTTGAAGTTTTGCCATATTTAGAGATCTGTTACCTAATGGTTCCTATATTCTTCATAGGACATGATTCTAGTCAGCATCAAAAACATTTGGAAGGATTTCAGGCATTAAACTATTTCTAAACAATAGAAAAAACTATGTTTAATGTGTCTTTCATGGTGCAACACACACCTTTTTTATGGATTTTGTGCCTAAGATTGAATAGGCTACAATGCACCATCAGTGTAACATCACCTGTCTCTGCCTTTCCACCAGCTCTGCCTCGCCAAATCATGAGACATCTCTTTCTCTCCAACCAATCAGATCTCAATCTGTGGCTGTTCTCATGCAAAGAAAGAGAGGGGAAGGCCAATAAGAAATGGCCCTCCTCCTTCCCCTCATATCCTACACACACGACAATCACCGTCTGAGAAATGCCAACGGACGGGCAATCAGTCATTGTAATTAGGCTGGCTGCCATTCCCGAGCCTTCATAATTCAGGCTGGAGCTGCAGGACATAGGTAGTGAGAGCCCAGCTGCCTGCTGCCACAGCCCACCCCTGGCTCACCCAAACCTCAACACAGGCCACTCCCTCTCCACTCCCTCTGATGGGGGGACCAGCTGAATTATAGGGGGAGGGGGGGGCAGGCTGACTGCAAAATTAAAAACTCCCCCCATCTCCCTCCCTTCCTCCTTGTCTACATCCCAAAACCGCTCCCACTCACACTTTCTTTTCACTGCACTGCAGAGTTTTGTTCTCCAAACTGCATGAGTGCGAAAGCAGATACATTGCACAGAGAAAATGGCTTTTAAAAAGAGGAAGGGTTTTAATCTAAACATATAAAATGCCTCTATAAAAAGTGGGCTTGTGTACTTTTCCCTGTTCATTTTTATTTTAAGGTGTAAAGCCTACAGATGGGTATTGTCCACACTGTTTTTAGGTGTAGGGAACACTGGATTTACAGTACAGACATGGCGTGCTCTTTTCTATTTGGAATTCACAGCTAAACAGGAAGCTATGTATGGCAGTATTCTGCAGCGATTTATTTTATTTGCTTAAAGGCCGTGGTTGACTCAGTAACTGGCTTTGCTTCTTGTATAGGACCTGAAGTTTTCTTGGCAGTGAAATGAAGAACTGCAAGTTCAGCCAAAATAGACAATAAAGCAGAATGGAGAAACATGCCAAATTGCTGGGGCAATTCAGTCCAGAGGCTCATTTTTCCAAAATGATTCACACTGGAAAGAAAAGCATTTCCCTGTCCTTAGATGAACTTAGTGTGCTCTCTGTCGGCTTTAACAAGGAAGCTGGGGAGGGAGGGAAGACGTGTGCACACTCAATCACACACAAAGACGTGCGTGTGCACACACACATACACATGACCACACAGCCATCACTGCAGATTCTTTGCTCACTGTGGAATTAGGTCATGCACATGAAAGCCCCAAACACAGACACACATATAAACACGAACTACTTTAAAAAGACATTTTCAAAGTCACCGGGGAAAACCACATGCATGATCTTTGCAAGAAAAACCCCAAATAAGAACAGCCAAGCTGGGTTAGTGCCATTTTACATGTACTGTGTTGTACACTAACAGCTTGTACTATAACTATGAGACAAACGCTTTTTTTTTGCATGTACTCAGTTTTCAGTGCAGCAGCAGCACAGTTGAGGAATGAGGGAGGACTAAAGGCAAGTTTTGCATCAGTCAGCAGTGTCCTGAGGCTGGTTTATTGGCTTGTCTGGCTCAGCTGTCTGACAGTGTTCACCTGTTCCTGCCTCCCCACTGTAGGATGACAGTCAACAGTCGGCTGCAGCACAGCAGGGAGCTCAAAACTTATTTGACACTATTTATCCATCACACACAAAGACTGCCTTTAAAAAACAAATGCGAAAAAAAATAATACGCTAAAACGAATACCTAAAGCAGTAGCTTTTTATCAATAAAAGTCACAAAATAATAAAATCCTTTCACAACCAAAAATATAACGAGGCTTAAAAAATGCAGCCTGCTTCTGTATGTCAGCATAACATGATATCTAAAGCTTGTGATGGAGGAGTACTGGTCAATTTCTAAATATCCACTCATTAAGTCCCACAATAAAATTAGATCTTGCAAGCAAACATTAAGCATTAGGTTACATAGAAAAGATAAAAGCCTTCGGTAAGGTTTTGCCGGGAGCTTTTATGCACTCATAACTATGCTGCTACCAATGACAGTAAACATTTGTGCAGCTGTTTTGTAGTGTCTTAGTGATATGCAACATATATTAGATCAAAAGAAGAAGAGAAGAAGAGATTAAAGACTAAAAAAATGCATTAACCCCAATCTATTGTGTGGAAGTTATCACATTGTTAAGTTTCTTTTACTGCCAGACTAAATCTAAATGTGTTGAGGCCTTGCTTACTCATCAGATTATGTTCAAAAAATCTTTAATAGCTGCTGTAATATAAATAATCATCCACCCAGTGCTCAGTGAGCTTCAGACAGCTATTTAACTGATGAGCTCTACAAGCAGAAAAACAGCAACATTAAGAGGCACACACACACATCTGGACAGGATGCATGAATGCGTCTGGACGATGGTAGTGAGGTTGGAAGGGAGAATACGCAGGCTGTGGGATGTTATATAATCACTAATCTTGTTGCAGAAAACAGAATACATGCAAATACATAACGAGACGGACAGCAATATGTCAGATACAAGGGTCAAATGACTACTTTGGTAATGGTAATAGGAACAGTGAGCATTGTGATGGCAGTGGCTGCCAAATTTGTCACCGAGGACTTATATATGAGTGTATGGCACAAAGCAGGAGTTTATTTCAACTTCTTAAAAGTTTAAATATTATTATTTTGACTTATTATTTATTCATCCACTGTACATCATATTTGTGAATAACATTTGTTTTTGTGAGTAGAATAAAGGGAACTACAACTTAATGAATAAATGACTTAATGCTGTTCCATACGTTGCTATTCTACAACAATAAATAAAGAATTTACAGTTATATTTCCTCTTTAGGAACGGCAAGTGAGACTGAAGCTGAACTGCAGAGTTGCTGAAGAGTCTCTGAGTAAGACACTCAATCTGTGACATCTGACCACTGCAGAGGTTGGAGGTGGTGTCCCTTACGAGGAACAACAAGAACTTCAATAATTTTTATCAGTTTGAATGTGCAGTTTTAAGGGTTTCAGAGTCTGAGTTTGTTTTTTGTGAGAAAATAAGTCTCTGACCAAAAATCCCTATCTCATCCTCCATGTTCAAAATATCTGATATGAAAGATGTTTTCATAATGAAATGAGAAATCTCAGTTCTTTTCTGAATTCCACAGACAGCATGAAAGCCGTGCAGTCTGCAGGCGACAACAACAGGTCTTTACAGTAGGTGAAGTTCAGTGCTAGTGGATCGCAGGATTTTTTTGTATTTATTTTTTTTGCCTCATACAGAACAGCCCTAGAAACATAAAATTCATTAGATGCACTTTTATTTTAGTTTTTTTTACTCAGGGCTCCTTGTAAATAAACATACTGTTCTTCAAATGTTACCGATCCACACTAGATATTGCATCATGTGGTACTAAACACACATTAAAGTCACTTTAATATGTACTGACTTTTGACAATTATTGCTCTTATGTTTTATGTTTTCAATAATTTCTTATTGGGTGCTCTTCCTCTCTCTCTGACCTAATAGTGTAATTTAAATTCAGCAAATTATATCTTTGTATATTTCTCTGGAGTCTTTGGGCCAGACCTTTCAGAGGGAGCTGAAGCTGCACCTCTGACTTGTGTCTTTATGCTGCATGAACAGTCTTCAGAATTACTGAGCTAAAACAACGAACCAACAATTCTCAGTTTCCTTAACACTGCAGCATCTCTCATATTAGTATGTTCCAGTATCACTACAAAACCGAAGAGTTTAAACAGAAACCTAAGTACTGTTGTGCTGCATGAATTTCCTTCCTCTGTGCTTTAGTTTTGCATTCACCGGCTGCATAAATTACACTGAACCTTAACACTGTTCAGTGAGTTACACCAAAAGCTTTATGCCTATTTTTTTTTTAAACTTTCCATGACAGTGAACCTGAAACCACATGACACCTACCAACAAGGGGCACTGTGTACAAACAGGAAATAAACTTACAAGACCAGAACCACATCAGAATTCAACTTTACACCAAAGCACCAGTGCAACATCTAGTTTAAAGTGTTAGAATAAAATTAAAATCCCACATAATAGAGAAATGAAAGAAAGTATGTTAATCTAAACTCTTTTCAGTGCTACCCAGAGGGCTTTTATTGGAAAGTGACTCTGGCACCAGAGAAAAACGTAAAGACAAAGTCAATGTCAAGCACAAAGGACACACTACAAGCTTTCCCACAGATTACTCCTATTTGCAAAAACGCGAAATTATTTACGTCTACATTTATTTATTTTTGTTTGTTTTTTTACATTTTCGAAAATAAGTCACAACATGTCGTAGGACAAAGAAAAGTTGCAATGGACTCACCATAATAACGCACCATGTGCTTGTTGCTTGTCAGCTTCAAGTCTCCTCCTAGTGCGTCCACCGTGCAATAGGCTCACGAACCGAGCGAAAAAGAAGCGGCATTTTAAGGTTATTCTCACCAGCTGCTACTGCTGCGTGTTGTTATGGGTGCTTTTGAAATTGTCAGAAAGAGTGCGGCTGAAGAACTGTGGGTGTCACCTCCATTTAATTGAAATAGCCTAGAAAGTGATCCTCGGCCGAGTTATAATCTACGGGGTGGTCTGACGACTGTCGTGAGGACGGGATTATGCACATCCCAGCGAAAGCTTTTCATCTCTTTCATCCGCTGCGCAGGGCAGGCTGTCCCCAATATCTCCGCACTACTGCATGGCGAATGTGACACTCCGCTGTGCGTTAAGGCAGGACTGCAAGCCAATAGGGGCTTTTGAGTGGTAACTTCTGTGGGGAAACAAAGCATTTATTTGTCCTCGTTTCGTGTTTGATAATTGTGTCTGTGCACGATCAGGCTCAGGATCAGGTCTGATGTGCATGTGGCTGCAGTGGCTTTAATGCTGGGGAACAAAAACTTGCAGAGTTTGAGGTTCTGGAGTCGTGATGCCCACACAGTGTGAGTCATATGATTTGGTCTACATCCTGGCTGCAGGACGTATGAAAGTTAATATTTGATGCTAGATGATTGATCAATACCACACATCTGCCCTAGAGAAGAAGTTAGGAACTGATCTACAGAGTGTCAATCTGTAAATTGTCATTATTATACTTAATCAGCATGACATACTCTAAAGGTGGAGTATATCTTAATATATTTTTTTATTTGATACAAGATTAGACTGCATTGGTTTACATATCAGGAATTACAAAGTCATAAAATTAAAGTTGTGAAATGAACATTTTTGGTACCCCTCCTCATAAACAAATGCACATGTGATAAAGGCTTACTGTTGTTACAACAAATTCTCAAACAGATGTGCATAGCTCTGTGATCAGTGCAAAATTCTGCCTTTGGCAATGCAGTGTAGACTGACAAATGGAAGAGTAATTACTGTGAACTGCAATTTTAAACTTCATCATTATACTTTCTACTGTATTTCAGTAGTTGTATGCCTGATTCGGAGTGCACTGAGAACACTTTAACGTTTCTTTGATAAACCATATGTCAGAAACACTGGAACATCTGAGCAAAGGTTTTGTGTATGTTTGTTTTGATTGAGTTGTGTCCCAAGTGTTTCTTAAAGGATTTTTGGAATTAACACAGCAGTCAAGCTCCAAGCATCCTCTGTGCAGTGTGCACTTAAAAAGTCAAGCTACTCGCTCTGCAACCTTTCAGACAGACTGAGTGGCCTTAGGGATGTTTTAATGGTGACTTGAGCTATCACTCAGAATACCTCTCACTATATCTTAAGTTGCACCTGTTGCATGAACTGGTCTAAAATACCAGACTTGACAGACACTAAACACAGGCTGCTCTGACTTTTCATCCTGAGCACACAAACAACTTTTACCCAGCAACATGTTTGTGCTCTAAATCCAGGCCACTTAGGCCTCTTGATAGCCTCTATTAATATGAACGCCACCTCTCACATTAACGTGACTCATGTTTCTGTGAGGCCTCACTGAAATTTATGATCATTTTGAGCCCAGTGCACCGCAGTGGCACAAGCAATGCAACCCTGTTGACCCCATACTGCATGGAGACAAGGGTAATGAGATTAGCTGTGCATGAGTGTGACCGTCGTTAGTGACGTGTCCTCTCCAGATTGTGTGTGCAAAGCTTTCAGGCTCTGTAGTTCAAGTGACAAAATCACAGCAGTTAGGAGAGCGAGGATTACTGGACGGGGTGATTGGGTTCACAGAGCAGCGAGTTCAGGGCAAGGGTTAGGCCTCACAAGCTTGTGCCAAAGGAAATGACATAAAACGTCAGGGACTGTTCCCAGAAAGAATTTCCCTCCCCCTTAATGATATCAAGTAAATCCTATTTTAATGCATGGGACAGATAGGTCAGCCTCCTTTGCTATATCTACACATTTTAATGAATGTTTCTTAACGGACCATATCAAGCACCAATTAAATTGTTTAAATTTTTTTGAATATCTTTCTGCTTCTGTTAGGATTTCCTGCATTTTCTGGAATACCAGATGAAGGATGTGAACCTGTTTTGTGCCAGCTTGTTATGAGCAGTAGGGTTAGGGTCTACCACTTACTCAAAATGCAGCATGTCTTTTGAGTTGCGATTCTATTGGATTAAAACTTTGCCTCTTATACTGTACTTGTACTCTGATTGATTTGGAAGTGTATGCTAATGGTTTTAATGGATGTATAATACTGTATGAGTAACATAAGATTGCAGGTTAAGAAAGAAGTTATTATTCTTTAATTTAGCAAAAACTATTGTTGAGTGTTGTTTCCAAAGTTTAAAAAGTCTGGTGTCAAACTTAATAGTCATGAGTCAAAATGATCAGTTGATTAATTGATTAGTCGATCAAGTAATGAAGTAGCTAAAGTCATTTTTTACTCAACTTCTTCAGTTGTTTTCTGCTTTCCCCTTAACTTATTGGTGTGTAAACTGAATATATTTGGGTTTTATACTGTTGGTCAAACAAAACAAGTGATTCTGAAGGTATCACATTATTGCAAAACATACATTTACATTTTTTAGATATAAAAAAAAATAGATATAGAATATAGATGAATAAATGATTAATTGAGAAATGAATCTGCAAATTAATCTTAACTTGTGGTCCTAGTTGTGAAGCTGAAAATGATATGTGATGTGTCACATCAGACAGTTATTGTTTGGACAGACCATCTGTGGTTTGAATGTCAGCATAAAGCAAAAGAACGATTGTGAATAAGACTGCAAGTCTTTTTTGTCTTTGCGTTGATATAATTGCTATGCAGCACTTTCTAGGATTGACATGAATGTGTGTTTTGAATGCCAAATTACCTTAAAAAGAGCTATTTTAACAGCATCACATATTTAAAGATAGTGATCTCTTAAAACAATCTAAAGCTTGATCTTGTGAGACCTGTAAATCGGTCTTTAGAGCAGTTGTTGGCTAGAGCACACACACGGACCACTGACACTGGCTGCACACGGGAAGCACCACAAGGTTTTACCCTAAACACCCACCCGTCCTGCTGGTCCAGACACAGACGAAAGGACAAAGACAACTATAATTCTGCTTGTCAAATGAAATCACTTTTGTTGACTTGATGTTAAACTGTTCAGGAGCTGCTTCTGCTCAGTCACAATGCTTTGAATTAAATGTTAACCACTGGATCATCAGTGTTGTGTACGTCAGGCAGAACGTTAACACTGCATCATAGGGCATTTCCCGAGGGAGTGTACAGAGAAGAAAGGCCACAATTTACGACACTGAAAGCATGAGATGGTTTTGTGTTTGCACAAGATAGACCTGATGCCCGTGTTCTGATCTATTTGAGTGCTCAAAGAATGCACACTTTTTTTTGTTATGTCATGTCCTCATTTTCAGCACAAATACCCTAGCAAAAAGGGCTACATTGCTACAAACAGCTGATTTGCAAGTTTTGACACAGTTTTTTTTTTTTTTTTTGCTCCAGTTGCCATGATAAATATGATTTACGTCATTGTACTGATTTATAAAATATTAAGTATTGTATGGAAGATTTGTTTTTCTCCCCCCACTGCAGCAGCACGCAAGTTAACGGACTACATTTTGATTTTTGATTCAAAGTCACTCCAACCATTGTGCGACGGACCCTGAATGCACACATCCTTACCCCGTTCCATACTTTGCTTCAGACAATGAATCTCTTATGCTGGTTGATCAAGAGTCCAGACACAACATGCTTGAAAATGCAAAACCACTTGATATTTAGATTATGGATTACGAGTTACTCGTCTCATTGCTTCTCCTAGAATTCAATAGAGCTTACTATCATTCATAAGCATGTGAATTCCTGCTTTGGAGTAAAGCGTTGAGGTCGCCTGTGACTGCTGAGATGTTTTGCTTGAATTCTCATTGACTTCAGACTGTCTGGGGGCCTCCTTGCACACTAAGCCATGCTTATTTGTAAACAGAGTGCTTTGCTGAAGTTCTCCACGCTCACCCTCCAGCCTCTGAATAAGGCCACTTTGCACAAAGAGAGCATTCTCACTGATGTTTGGACCCTATTTCTGCTTTCTATAGAGTATATTTGTAGTAGAGGCCTCCATTTGCTCTGGATTGAGAAAATGGGACTTTTTTTTGCATAAAGCGTGCATTAATCAGTAAATTGAGCTTCAAGCGCTGTGAATGAGTGACTTAAAGGTAATGGTTGATCTCAGTAGAAAATGCTGCATGAAATCAAAACCAAACCAAAAGTGGCACCTGACATCAAACTCTTGGCTGTTGCTAACTTTCTCACATTCTCCCTTGTGCTGGTCTGTTAACCTTGAGAGCTACCTCTTCAGGAAAACATGTTCATTAAATTCCCAGCAGGAGTCCCTACGTGGGCTTCACCCTGTCATTGACAGATGCATGAATGACTCAATATGCGTCTGGATTTGTAACCTGCAAGGGCTTAAGAAAAAGCCTGGGAGACAATGGCAACTGGGGCATAGCTGCAGAGCCTTCAGTCTAAACAAAATCTCATTGTTCCTGTTTTCCACAGTTAGGGGGTTAGGCATATCCCCGCCCCCACCCCCCACCCCCATAAGACTCCCAGAACCTCAGTCCGCTGTCCCACCCCAGTCTCTGTATTTCACAAGCTCAGAGTGCTGTTAGTGGGGCCAGTAATTAAACAGGGCTGCCTCTCAGTTTCTGCACCTCCATGGGGGGAGTCCCTCCATGAAATGCACTCCTCATTCTGAGTCCAGACGGCAGCTGATGAGGGATTATCTGCTGGCAGAGGCATGGCATACTCCCCACCATAATCTTCAATTAGTTCAGTTCACGGTGATGTGTTGGGTGGACCTGCCACTACCTTTCCCACGGCTTCTTCATAATCACCACACCAATGTATTGACGAATGTGCTATATCACTTTGGTTATCCTTGAGTATCAGCTGGTAGGAGAAATTAGCTTGAAACGCCATCATTTTATCTTGGCAACAATACAGTTAATAAGAATTAGAACTTGTGGTATTTTTGTTGTTAGAAATAAGATTTGTTACACAAGATAATACAAATTATTCTTCTATTCAACTTCTTTTTTGTAGTATTGGTTCTTTTGATACACTAGTACTTATATTCATAAAATCACATTAAAACACATTACAAATATGAAAGTTTGTTTTATCCTGTCTGTGTCCTATTGGGCATGTTGTTGCACACATGACCTGCGCTCCATCATTTCACTCCAAAATATGTTTGATAAACATTCTGTTACTATTTACTCATGAGGCTGGTCGGGATTAAGTTCAAGTTCATTTACTCATGTTGCCATGTATCACAAGCAAATTAAAATCTTGTGAGCTGTATCCTAATATGACTGCAAAGACAAAAAAAACAAAAATGAACAAAACAACGA